ATAAAAAAAAGAAAAGTATCATTATGATGATATACCAATAACATAAACACCAAAGATTGAACCTTCAAGTTTTGATGCCATAGTTGTACTTTTGATACATATCTGTTTGGGTTTTCTATTTTCAAGCATTTTTACTTGTGGTCGTTCATTTTCTGTTCGATAAACTTTTTCTGCATTCTTACAAACAGAACCGCAAAAAGCATCTCGTCGAAACATATGTGGATATTCTGCAAATCGACGACGACATAATTTCACAAAGTTACTCCATTCGAGAGGATTACTAGATTCTTCTGCTGTTTCATTTAGCTCTTGTACATTAAACTGATGATACTCAATATCTCGAATTTGAAAACAAATAACGCCACCACATGTTTTATTTAGTGCTGATTTGCTCATTGCTCTGTGCAGAGCATCTAAAAAGTTAGCAAGAACCCATCATATATATTTAATAAATTCAAAAAACTTACCATCAAAATTGTCTGTCACATAAAATCCTGGTCCAAAATCGGAACCAAGACGATGAGATGCGTTTAAATTTATTCCATATTGACATATTTTTTTAACAGATTCAGCATCTGTACCATGATATAAGCGAATATTTTCATCTTTTTCTATTTGAGATTTTGCCAATAAATCAAATACATTTAAATTATTATGCATACATTTTTTGAAATCAGATCGATTAAGATAAATGTTCAAATCATAATAAACTACTTCTAATGTTGATGAATTAAAAGTAGGACAAGGTATTTGAGACCATTGATTATCAGGTGATGAATCAAAATTTGGAGAATTGAGTAATTTCATGATTTGAACCTCAATATAATTATAAACATCATGTTCGAACGATTCATCATTAGAATAAATTTATCGGACATTATTTAAATGATCAAAACATTCTTGATTAATACCAATATCTAAGCCTTTTCTCAAACGCTATCGAATAAAATTTTCAATAATATCCATTGGATCATTAAACATAAAGTTCATCAGTTCAAATTGACAATAATCTATAAATTCATTTGGATTTAATCCAATTCGATAAATATATTCTTTATCTAATTGCAATGGATAAGGCAATGTTACATCTAAATGAAAAGAATGAAAAATAAATGTCAAATATTGATTAGTGAAAAATAAATGATGATGTTAATATTTAATTAATATTTCATTAAGTTCTCATTATTTCGAGAGGAATTTTTTATTGAAAAAAATTTCTCTTTTAATTTTTTTTGAAAGATCATATTCTTTTGTTTTTGTTTTTTTTAATTAATGAACACATTTTAGGATTTTCAAATAGGCAATATAAATAAATACTACAATATTATTTTACTTTTTAAAATAATATTATTTTTATTTTTAATTTAATTTATTATTTAAAGACTTTTATTGTTAAAACAAATTGTTCTATTAAATTTAAACGTTTATTATTCAAAGATTAATAAGTATTATAAATGTGAATAAGGCAACTAAAAACTATTATGATATTATCATTAGGTTTTATACTAATTTCTATATTAATACTTGATTCCTAAGATTTTTATTTATTTATTTTTTCTGTAAAATATTCCTTTTTATTTTTATTATGTTACTTAATTAATAACTCTATCATATAAAGAACTAGAATGTGAAGTATTTAGAATGATTAAATATCAGAATATGATAATATCAACTCATATATTATCATTGAGATTCATTAAGAAACATCATTAGTTGATACACTATGTTTAAGTTCATATTTTGTTTTGTTGACAGAACCCATAAAGTAGAGAAAAATCTCAAAAATATCCATTCTATTATTATTGAATATACAAACATAAGATATATATATCTAAAACTGTCATTACTAGATTTTTTGTAAAAGAACATTTTTATAAGCTGATTCGTTTTGTATAAATCCACTAAATTTTCTTTAATATTCTATAGATAAAAAGAAAAGAAATTTTCCCAATTGTCTTTTCTATTATTTTTTTATAGCATCTTTTTATGTTTCTGAACAAAACAAAAGCAGCTAACAGCTTATTCAAAATTTCCTTTTCTCTATTCTATCTACATGTTCTTTGAGAATATTAAATATATGAAAGAATAAAAGACAATTCAAAGAAGTTTTTCTTAGAACATCATAGAAGTAACTATTTCTTCTTAATAACATAAAGTTTTTGAATAATAATACTTAATTTAGTTAGAACATTCTATTTTTGATATGAAAATTTTCAAATAACACATTGAATACAATTAAAATTAAAAATAATATTATTTAGAAAAATAATGTATGTAATAAGAAAATTGTCAAAATAAATATACACTATTTAAAAAGTTCAATATCTTCTCCTAATTATTTATATTGTATATCTTAAAAATCGTAGAATATGCGTTCATTAATAATAAAATATATACAGATATACGTATGATATTGCAGAAAATTAACAAAATGAATTATCTAATAGTAAAGAAATTCATTTTCAAATGATGAGAATTTTATGAGATATTAACAAAATATTCTTATTAATATTTATTCTACATCATTTTAAATCATATAAAGAAAGAAAATAGACATTGATATATGAAAATTCTTACTATGTAATTGATTGATGATTTCAGATGATATTGATAATTGTGACGTTGTAGTAATGAGACTTGTCATTAAGCTTGAAGATGAATCCTGTAAGCGTGGAATAGGTAATTCTTCATTCGACTATAATAATTAGAATAGAATTATATGTCAGAAAAAGAAAGAAAATCAGTTATACTAAGAAAACTTACTGAAATCGTACTTGAATTAGATAACAATGAAGAATCACTCAGATCATTGCTGACTATTACAACATCTTTTTCTTCTTCTTTCATACTATCATTTAAGTTTGACATTGATAAAAATATAAAATTCACAATTAACTAAGTGAACACGATGTTTATGAAATAAATTAATCAATACTATTCAAATTATAGAAAACAAGATCGGTTGAGAAGCTACATGACCTCCTTTCACGTACATACACTTTTTCGCCATTGGATAAAAATGATACATTTAACCTCTGTAATAAAAAAGAGGGCGTTCAGTATCAGTGTGTTTCAGATATATGTATATGTATAAATTCATATATGAAGGAAAGAAAAAAAATTAAAATTCTCTTCTTCCATAGTTTTGTTTTCAATCTGATCTAGTCTGCCGACACATGTGAATGAACCATTGAATGAATGTTGAATTCTCTATCCATTAATGCACTCTGTGATGAAACTGATTTTTATAAAATGAAATTTTCCACGAAAATAGCACATCATAAATGAGTTTTTTCTGTGAAATAAAATCTTTTTAACCTACAAAAATGAAAGATTCATATCGACTAATCTCGAAATTCTTTGTCTGTAATCATCAGCGTTCAATATCGTTCATCAAACAGCTGTCATTTCTGCATTGTTTTGTTTTGTTTTGTTGTTTTTCTTTTTTATCTAAGTCATCTACTCCTCTTTTTCGCGTGTACTAATGTGTATTTATATATATGAGACAGAGATGTCCATCGCGGCTGAGAATCTGCCGCTGCCGCGATAGTTTTTGAAAAAAATCTGTCCACTGTTATGGACATCTCTGATATGAGAATAAGTAATCTCTAAGCTAAACTAGATCTGTTTTACTTCAAAGATAATTTAAGCTCAACTCATCGAATACTTATCAACAGTCAATTTAAGGAACGAAATAGATTGGTTCTTTGTTTTCATTTTTATTTCGATGGAAAAATACGTCTATAAAATTATTTAGTAACTAGCAAGTGCCATACGACATCAATATGACATTCAATTAAAATTATTTAAATTTTTATTAATTTGTTTGAATTTTAAATAAGTTCATTTCAGTTTGTGTGATGACGTTAATCTTAATAAGTATCATATTGAGACAACTGCTTTTCTATATAGCTTGAAGAATCGAATGCATATCGACTCCTTTATAAGAAATTCATAGTAGATATCCTAACTCCTTAACTTTTGTTCGCAACATCTTATAATGCTATTCACACTGAAGTTAGTCTTATGCGAAACTAGTAGTTTTCGGCTATGACCATATGAAAACCTAAATAAAGGTAACTAATTTTATCATACATATGTACTATGATGATGTTCCTAAACCGATGAATTCTTTGCAATAACAATCTCTAGCGTTGTTCTTCATTACTGTGATAGTTACTTTATATTATGTTTTTTCACTCTTATAATTCATTTCAGATTTGTTATTATGTCGTCGTAATTTGTTGCTCGTTATATAAATTTGTTTACAACAGAATACCATGATACGAATACACTTCAATATCAATGATAATAACGCATTACATTCTGTTTTTCATGCTGGTGCTATATTAATCGTCGTTTTCTGGCAGACTGAATATCTAAACATTTTAGACAGATCTCAGGAGTCAATTTTCATGTTGAGAATGCCAAATGTGACATCGATTGAACCACAATTATGATATACCATATAATGATTGTCGCTGCTTTGTTGAATCAACAGAATACTGCCTCACTGATAAGCAGCTCAAGATTAGTCGTGTTTTACCCTTAATTTTATATGTATTGCAGATTTATTTTACTTGGGAATTTCTTTCGATAAGTGGAGATCACATATATTTTTTTGTCTATGTATTATGGATCGTTTCTATGTTAGCTTTCATCGGTATTTTATTTATTATTTATCGATACAACTATTATTATGGTTATACAGTTTCGATCCTTTGTGGTACAGGTTATTCATTATTTGGTTTTGTTTGTTATGAAGTAGGTCTTGACGGTTACCGTAAACGATCTTCCCGTAATAATAACATCATGATTAACTATTAAGAATCTCAAAAGATTGATAATAGAGTTTAATCTTAGAAAGAACCACTAATAAAATACTTTTTCTTTGTATATTTAATTCAATCATTTTTGTATTTAATATGTATGGTTGTTTTTGAAATTGTTGAATAATAATGTTTTTTTTTTGTAATAATATAATAAAACATTGTGAAAATGGACAATCTTAGTGTTTATTTTCTAACGATGTGAACTGAAATAATTGGTGATATTGCATCTGGAAACTAGGACTCGAGAATAATTTTATTTAGAAAAAGTAGATTTTCTTCAGAAATAAATTTTGCTAGCAGAACCATTGAATGTTTGACTGCAAATAGCCATATGATACTAGATTTGCTAAACTTAATGAACGTCTATTGATAAAAGAACAAACATAACGATAGTAATAAGATAAAAACCTATAATAACAATAAATAGCAAAAAGTATAGAACAAATTAAAATCATAATAAATAATATTTTAATTTCTTGTTTTTTGTTTGTTTTAATCCAATGTAGAATACCAATATACAATACTCACCTACGAGACGCATCATTGATAACATCATAAAGAGCTTTTCTACTCATTCAGCTAATCCAGGAAAATGACGACCTCCAAATGCAACAAAAAGAAGACCAAAAAGAGACACGACTACCGGTATATAAGGTCTTCCAAAACCAATAGCTTCTGCGACCATTGCACCAATATTAAAAAGCAAGAACATTGGAAATCTTTCATCTGTTACTTTTTCTTTTAAATTTTGTATTCTTGTTACATCCTTGATATGTACAATTAAAATCCATAATACAATGAAATTAAATAACAACATTAACCCCACTTTGGATCGTTCATAATAGGTACTACAAATGATACAAAAACAAGAATAAGAATTTATGTAATTCAAATTGATTTTAGTCTTTCACTGATAGTTTTCAACGCAACTGATTGTTTTAAATTAAAATCTTATTATTCATTAGTTATCAGTTTATGATTTTATTATTTCGATGACGATAGATACTCAAACAATCTATTTTATAAGTTTTAATTGATTGTTTATTTATTAAATATAAGTTTCTCTGAGTTTTCGAAATCCAAATAATTATGACGTTGAGCGAATCTGATATTCAATTTATCAACTCTTTCACATATACAGTCAATGCCCCTAATAACAACACTAGAAATTTTTTTTTTCTTGTCTGACTTGGCTCTCGACTATTTTACAGTCGAATCAAAATTTTTTATATTTGCATAATCTTCAGAGTCTCCTCTTTCAAATGATGTATTAATGGTCTTTCTTCAAAATGTAATGGAGAAGAAATCATCGGTCTACGATTATGAACTACTTCTGTTGTAATTAGGGCACTTTCCCTAATTACAACAGCCAGCTAAATTTTGTCCCTAATAACAACAGTAGCAGTTCGTTATCGTAGACCGCTGATTTCTCCGCCATTACATTTCAGAGAAAGGCCGCTGTTATACCATTTGAAAGAGGAGACTCCATAGATTATGCATATATAAAAGTATTTTCAGTCGAGTGTAAAATAGCTGAGAACCGAGTCGAACAAGGAAGAAAATTTTTTTAGTGTTGTTATTAGGGACATTGACTGTAAGGGTCAAATGCAAATTCCATTTCCGTCATCCGAAAGAGGATTCATCAATCTATCGAATAAAAAAAACGCAGTTCGATAGGACGAACTATAATGAAAAAAAAGTTGTTCGGAGTTTCTCAATTTTGCCAAAAACCAATTTCGAGAAAAACGCAAAAACTTTTTTTCTACATATTATTGACCTATCGTTGGACATTAGCAACACATATGGTGATATCGTTTATCAGTCACTAGAACTAATCAAGATACATAGGCCTACACATCTAGCGCCACATGCAGCTAACAGATGACGGCAACATCTATGATTTCTTTCGGTTTTTATCTAATGTCGCCTATGAATGTTACTATAGAGAATTTGAGAAACTTTTAGTAGTTCTCTTTGAAACCTTTCGAAACTGAAAGTTTTCTTAGCGAATATTTAAAGTAGGGACCTTAGGCGACATCTCTATATGGTTTTCTCAAAAATCTTTTTTTGGACGAAAAACAAGTTTTTGGAGGGGGGGGGGGAAGCCTTAAGGAATGTAATTATATATTCTGATAGCACTCGAAATTCTCTATCATCCTGTGCATTTAAGTTTTGACTTGCATCTATTTGCTGAAAAATATTTTGAGTACAGTGAAGACATCCTCACCCTCAGATTCCCACGAACTCCATTTTTTGTTCGTTTCTTATGCGGTTGTAAAATATTTATCTATACAGTAATCCATTTCTTTAGAAAAATAATTATATATTCTGAGAGCCCTTGGGTGAGAGTGTCTTCACTGTACTCAAAATATTTTTCAGCAAATAAATGTAAGTCAAAACTTAAATACACAGGATGCTAGAGAATTTCGAGCGCTATCAGAATATATAATTACTTTCCTTAAAATGTAGTTTTATGTTGGCGATAGAATTCTACTGATCTAAATGTACAGAACTTATGTACCAACAGGATATGAAAAAAAGGTTCGCGACAATTTCCCTATCGATATATTTTTGCAATTAGTTGAGCAATTTTAACAACTAAATTGTTCTTTGTAAATTGTAGAGTTTTTCACGCTGCATCTTGCGACATATTTTGTTTTTTTAATACATATTAAGTGATAAAAAATTGAAATACAAAATGCGGCCGCTTAATCTGCCCCATCCGTTATTTTTGGAGAAGCAAAAATGCATGTAACAAACTTCTTTTATTGACTCTCTTACTTCTTGAGCTAAAAACTTTATCTTTACACAATAAGTACACTTTGAAAAGCCCTTTAAATGACTATTTATTTGTTAAAATTGCTCAAGTAATTGCAAACAGAGATGTTGGTGAGTGATTTTTTTTTATCTGACCCGTTGGACGTCGAAACCGATCCGCTTGACGGGTCGAGCGATATTTTTTTCGGCCCGCGGGCTACTCCACAGGTTGACGATTTTCAACTCGTCACGGGCTGCCCGCGGATTGACCCGTGGATTAATGCAAATTTAATTGCGATAGTGTTTATAAAAAAATTCACAAGTTTAGTAAATCGATACATTCGTTTTTTGTATTCGTTTTATTAAAACAAATATTTTGACCATTAAAATATTATCTTTTGTTTCGGAGTACATCCATAAGTATTACAAAATTTGGAGTTCAGCTCAGGCAGATAAAGAGTCCAGTGAAAGTAATAAAAATTGACAGTTCCTATTATGATGATGATAATAATAGCTGTTCAAAAAAATTGAGAATTAGATAGACTATATATTATTCATTCCCGTTTTGTAAAGTAGTCGAACTAATAACAAGTCTTCCAATACGCTTGATTTTGTACATGATTTGCGAGCACAATAAACAAGAACAACTTGAGGAAACTGTCTTTTGACAGCAACTGAACTCGTTAGAAAAGTTTTACTGAGGTATTGACTACAAACTATAATAAAAACTGATACACGTACGAAAAGATAGATTCTTTTGTTGCGTCACTCTGCTCGAAAAAACCAAAAAGACAAAACGAACGGAAAAAATATTAAGAAAAAATGAAGCGAATAGGGAAAATGTGAAGATGCAAAAGAAACGATCGAACTTAGTATTTTGTGCAAGCAAATTTCGAAAGAGAAGCGCATTCATGTATGTGTATGCTTCAAAACAATTAGATGAACAACTAGAATCAAGATATAGTCAATACAAATGATAGAAAGAATTTTGATGTTAAAGTAAGAATTAGTAGGAAAGACAAAACCAATCATCGGTGAAAATTAGAAATGAAATGAATGTGTGCGTAAATCTATGTAGAAAGAAAAATTAAATAGAAAAAGCAAAATTCATGAACAGGTTGAATCGGGTTAAACCCGCAGGTTCACATAAAAATATAACCCGACCCGAGAAATCCGTAAATCTCGAAAATACTAACCCGTTAACCCATGACTCGTCAGAGGTCCAACCCGGCCCGCGAGTTACGGGTCGGGTCATGGATCGGGCGGGTTGAAGCAAAAAGAGCTAACCCGTCAACATCTCTGGTTGCAAAGATATATCGATGGAAAAAATGTCGAGAACTTTTTTCCACACTTTATTTAGCACTTCTCGAAGATTCTTTTAAAGAGTATATTAATAATATCATATCAAACATATGCTCTTAGGGTTTGAGATTATATAATTAGTTATTCTATCACTTCTATTTGTTTTATAGATTGTTTGAGTTAATCAATATTAGAATCTTTATTTTTCAATTAATAAATATGAACATTCAAATGTTGCTTTTTGTTATTAAATAAAATCTATATCTTGTAATCATGTTTCATATCAGATTGATAATATTGTTATTCAAAAAGTATACTATACTACAATAGAACGGCGACATCTATTACTTATACGAATATCCAATTGAACAAGTTGCATTTAGAAATGGCTACCAGAGTTTTAGATTTTGCTCATAACAGCGAAATGTATGCAGAACATTTTGCTGAATACAATACTACTTCGTTCTCAAGATGATTATGTATTTCTTCTAAATTGAAAATAGGAAATATAATTTAATCTATTTTATTTTAGAATACATTATCTTTTTCTTTAATACATTATTTGAAAAAAAAAATTCGTCTTTGTACATTTTGGTACATTTTACTTACGAAAAGACATTTTATTTTGAATTTCTATTCGAAACGACTTTTTCAAATCTTTTTAGATTAATCATCAAATTATATTGGGCCGAATTTGATAAAATATTTTTTATGCTCAACCTTAGTAGTATAACTCAAAGAGAATAACCTATTTCGATGTACTTTAGTTGTTTTGAAATGAAGAAAAATTATGAAATTTACAATATATTGTTCCTTTATTTTTGATGATTACTTCTTAGATTGATATTTTATAATACATTTATTTAATTGAAAAACTTCTTTTTTTTTTTTATTTTCTAGATAAAAATAAAAATGTCTATTGAAGAAAAACACGATGAAGATTTTACAATTTTTCCAAATATTCTCGATGAAAATTTATCATCGAAGAAAAGAAAAGATTTATATCGTTTACCAGAATGGATGTCATCATTAGCTAAACGATTTGATAGTAGACAATTACAAACAGAAACAACAACTTCTATTAATCAAATTGATTATCTCGATGAAGATATTCGATCAATATTAATTAATAATCTTTCTATTCAATATTTATTTCCTGTTCAATCACAAGTTATACCTTATTTAATTCAACAAAATCAATCACATTCACCAATACCATTAGCTGATATTTGTGTATCATCACCAACAGGTAGTGGAAAAACTTTAACATATGTTATACCATTATTACAATGTATTCGTCATCGTGTTATACGTGCTATTCGTATTATTATTCTTTTACCTGTACAAGATTTAGCTGAACAAGTTTATCATGTTGTTAATCAAATAGGAAATAAATTACAATTAAAAACAGCTTTACTTGCTGGACAACAATCATTTGAAGATGAACAAAAAATTTTAGTTAAACAACAATTGAATGGAAGTAAGAAAGAGTTTGTTTCAACATAGACTCGATGAAATTCCTGTCTGGTAATAAAACCTAAATATTTCATTTGAGTATCAGTGAAATACGAAATATTCGCTTCTTCTTCCTAGATAAATTTTTATCTACATAAAAAAAAATCAAAAACTGCACTATTGAGAATATTCATTTTTTTTTTGTTAAAGGTTGGACATCATCTATTGATATTATTGTTTGTACACCTGGTCGTCTTGTTGAACATATTAGTCGAACATCAGGATTTTCTTTAATAAATCTTCGTTATCTTGTTATTGATGAAGCTGATCGAATCATAGATGAATTTAAACAAGATTGGTTAAATATTCTTGATAATGCTGTTGGTTTATTGAGTCATTTAAAAAATGATTTTCAACCATATATGCTTAGTCAATCATCATCGAATCGTAAAACCTATCAAAAATTACTTTTTTCAGCAACATTAACACATAATCCTGAAATTTTACAACAATTAAATCTATTTCGTCCTGTACTTTTTTCATCATCAACATCAATTATAATGCCATCAACATTACGTGAAAATTTTATTATTTGTTCAATAACATATAAACCATTAATTATTGCTTATCTTATTCAAAATCAATTACATTCTGAACGTATTATGATATTTGTTCATTCAAAAAAAGATGTAGATCGTTTAAGTTCTTTACTTAAATTACTTTTACCAGATAATATTAAAGTTAGTCATATATCAAGAAAATTACCATCGAAAAAAATTCAAACACGTTTAAATATGTTTGAACATGGACAAATTCAAATTCTTGTTTGTTCAGATGTTCTTGCGTAAGTTTAATCAAACATAACTGTATAGAATAAAGTCTATAGTATTTGTCATGAAATAATCATACGACAATTTTTATGACCTATTCGATAGAGAAATCAATCATCTCACATAAAGTCTTATATATATATCATTTATTTTCAAACAGAAACCCTTTAATTCAGTTTTCTTATTCTAGAAAGTCTGTCGAGAATAATAAATGAAAAAAAAAATAATGAATATCTGATAAAGCCTTTTGAATTGTTTTTTCTGAAGGTAGAAATAATTGAAAGGTTTCTTTTGTTTTTAAACACAGATGGTTCTGAGTGACATCTACTATTTTTTAAAGAAAGCATATCGCCTTAACTTTATCAGCTATAGCGAAGACCATTTCTTTCTCTCTGAATTTTTTTCGACATTGTATCCAATCTTGAATATTAATTTTCATAGAACAATTATTTCCATCTGATGTTCTTGCGATAATTCTTGATAACAATTGATCAAGTATACATGAGCAGCTTGATTATTTCTGAAATTTGTCAAACGTACGGCAATGTCTTTTGACTGACAATACATTATTTCTACAATAATATTTGATAATCCATATTACACGTTTGTTCGTACTACCGCCTAGAGAAACGAAATTTCACCTTACTGACCACCGACTTAGTATAGTATTCGTTGAAATACATTGCTACAAAAAGGACATATTTTGATAGAGTTGATGTCAATGTCTCAATGGACTTTGTATCGATGACTCATTGTCAATTCTTACTACTACTAATATACCATAGTAGAATAGTGGTCAGAAGATAGTCGACTACTTAAGTATCAAACTACCGCCGGTTGACTGACATTTTCTTAATATTCTCAAAATTAATGACAGACTTTTTTTGATCAATATATGAATGTAGAATTTCTTTGTTTATATTACAGACGTGGTATTGATATTCCAAATATTGATTGTGTTATACTTTATGATTTACCAAAAAATATTCGTACATATACACATCGTATTGGTCGTACAGCACGTGCTGGTAAACTTGGTCGATCAATAACAATGGTTGAAAAAGAACGTTTAATAATGTTTCGTACAACAATAAAAACTTATCGACGAAATAAACTTAAACCAATGAATATAAGAAAAGAAAATTTTTCATTTATGTTAAATGATTATCAAAAAGCTTTAGAAATATTTTCAAGTCAAGAACAAAAGAAAAAATTAAAACAAAAAAAATAAATTTTTTGTGTTTTTTTGTTTTTGAAAAACTATTTATCTATTGATAAATTTCAGATATATATTGAATAAAATATTCATATATGACTATGAATTAAATTTGATGATCGATATCGAACAATTCAATTAGTTTTTCAAGATTAAATTTCATTGAAAAACAAAATAGATGAAAACAAGAGTTTTATTTTTTTTTAAACTTTTTTCTATAATTCTAAGTATCAAACTTAAATAGCTAATAGAATTCTCAATCAGATGTAATGTATATGAAGATTCTATAAATGGACTATGGGAATCAGTTTTCGAAATCTAAACACGGTATTTTGTAGGTTCTAGAAGTTACATTTGATTTTTGATGCTCAGAATGATTACAAAAAAAAATTAATATTGGATTTACATTAATAATTTCAGATTTAATTCTTGTTCATTTCATAAGGAAATCTTAGAATGAGTTCAACAACTGGTATGCATTAAAATTACGAATAAATTTTGTTTATACTTTTTTTGTTTTGTTTTTTTTTTCTAAGAAACAACATCATTTGATCCATGTTCTGGATGTGAAATACCATGTTCAAAACATGCTTGTTATCCATCTGAAATTGCAAAAGAAATTGATCAAGGTAATATGATTGGTTCAGTTGAAAAACATCGTCGTCATTTATGTATTGGTCAATCAATTCCACCATCACAATGGCCAAAAGATATAAATGATTTACAAGGTGATTATATTGCAGAATTATCTCGAGTTTTAAAAGAAAAAAAAGATTCTATTGGTTATTCTATTAAATTATCATCAGCATCAGTTGTTACAACAACAACAACAGATGATCCATCACATATAGCTGATTGGTATGTTTTTCCTGATCAAATTAAAATAACTAATGTTAATATTAAACAAATTGAACAAATTATACAAACATTATTTGTTGATGATCAATCAGTTATTAAAATTAAAGATAAAACAAAAACAATAGAAGAACAACTTAAAGAAAATAATAATTTACCTTCTTTTGATGATAATATTAGATGTGAAAGATTACATGGACTTTGGTTACTTGTTTGTTGTCATTATCAACGTGATCAACGATGTGGTATGTTAAACATAGAGTCTTGCATGCGAATTCAACTGTAGAAACTTATATCCAAAAATCTTATTCGATAAAAACTGAAATTTTTATTAAGGAAATGATATCCGAAGAACCTTATTAGTCCTAAAACGATATTAAAATTTATTATTCTTGCAGACAATATCAGCAAACCCTTCAAAATACACATAACATAGTAGAGTTTTTTTTATTAAAATTCTTCAGAAGATTAACTACTATCACATGATTTAAAAATGATGGTTCAGATGGTGAGTGTAAACGAAAAGAAGATCTCATTAGTATTTCTATTCACATCCGTTTTTATCTACATGACTTTCGTATGGTTCTACTTACGAATGACCAAGGAAGGAAGTCTTCTGTAGCTACACAGAAAAACCTTTCATTCATAAGTTTTTTTTTTTTTTTTGAGAACAGTCTTGAGCACTTTTCCCTTCATCGCTATTTCTTATGTTAGTTAATTTGTAAAAAAAATTCTAATCAATGAAAACAAATGTAGTTTTACGACACAGAAAACCTGTGTATATCAATAGTTTTAAAAATAATGTTCTTTGAAAGATCATGGTGTAGATTTTTTTCTTCTCTTCATCTACATCTTCCACTATTGAGGGCGAAAAAAAAATTGACTTAACATCGTCCATGATGTTCTACGAAAGTATTGTAATTATTATATCCTATCAATATTTTATAAAAACTGTTTGAAAATTTATGTATTTTAAGATAAGATTTTCATTAGCTACTTAGTTGAAACATTTTTAGTAAAAGAACATCTGAAGTTACTGTCTTGATATTGAACTGAATTTTGTACATAGTATCTATTAAATGAATTCTAGATTAAATCATACTTTTGACGTTTATCTTTTACATATATATATACATTGCGCTTTAAAGCATCGCAAACAGAACTTCACTTTTGCATAGGCAATCTATTCTATTGAAGGATTAAAAAATGTTAGTTCTATCCACAATAGAAAATTTCAGGAGAAAGGAAAAACCATTTTGTTTTTTCTTTCTTATCATATGATCTGTTCATTTATAATAAATTTGGTGATCAAAACATATTTTCTCCTACGTACATAGATATATATATATATATCTTGATTAAACATCAATCATATTGTCATGGAATCAATATGTTTAATATGAGAAAAATAATTTTTATGTGAAATCCCTAATGTTTTTTAATATAAATATTTTTATATTTTTAGGAGTCATTGGACCAATGATAGTTGATGAAATAGAAAAATATGTTCGTGAAGCAGATCTTATTGATAAAGTTCATTGGTTAAAAGTCAGTCATCTGGGTAAGTTATTATCATTCTAATTATCTGATTTTCAAAGATTAAAAGCAACAATAAATGTTTTTATACGTCTTCTTACATAAATAGATGTTCTAGGTCAAGTCTTATATATTATCAGATTCTATTCATATCGTTAAGACTTCCCTAGTGGATATCATTCGATCGTAGGCTCGGCAAAGACGACGCCCTCTGTGGACATAGTCGCCATTGACTAGGGAAGATTAGAATTTGACTAGAGATAACTTTATAGAATTAAAACAATTAAAATCTCAATAGAAAACTCAACATTCACCAAACAATTTGCTCATATTTGTATGATGACCTTGTTTTTAATGATATTTTATCGAACAAAAACCTCCTGTAATTTTAAAATGAACATGCCTTTACAATTAGTGATTTATTCCGACTTAGACATCATTTTTTTCTAATTAGATTTTAACGGATATAATTTTCTCTCTTTCCTTTTAGTAAAGTACGTGATTATATGAATTCTAATTTTGCCTATAACACATATATATATAATATGCCCTAGGCAAAATTGAACTTAATTATGCGTTAACATCGGAAAGTAATTTTTAAGAGTACTCTTATGAATAAGCTAAAAAATATTTTCAATTTTTGGAGTATGAAATTCTCAGATAAGACAATCATTTTTCTACAACAGAGAATAAATAAGCTACAAATTCATTAATGATTACAATAATTCGTATTCTTTTTTTTTTTTTCAAGGTGGTCATAAATTTGCTGGAAATGTTATTGTTTATCCATCTGGTGCATGGTATGGTCGTGTTTTAACATGTCATATTCCAGTATTAATCGATGCATATAGATCATCATCGGAAGATTTAAAATCAAAATTAAAACCTCTTTATCGTGGACATTTAGATACGACTTGGTAAAAAGAAAAATAACTATGTAATTAAATAACATTCAATTTTCCTCTGTAATTGTTGTCTTTGTGATATAATGATTATCTTCCCTCGTGTTTTTTTTTCTTATCATACACGTAGAATGAATATGTAATTAGCAAATATCAAATATATTCTTATGTTGAAAACGAATATGTTTAAATATCTGAGAAGAAATTTTCTTTGCTAAATGTTGATTGTCATTATTTCTGTTATGTTATAGTTAATAGAGGACTTCTTGTATGTTTTATATCTTAATAAAAACTATAATTGACATCATCGTAGTGATTGACTTAAACCTGTTTCCAATCTTTCTTTCTTGTTCTTTTGTTTCTTTTTTTTTTTTTGTGTGTGTGTATGTGTTGTTCGCTTAATCTTTAATCATTCAGGAAAGGAAAAGAAGTTTGTTGACAGGCAAGAATATTTTCTTTTTCCTTCTTCTTTCCTTCAAATATATATATATATATATATAGTTTTTGCTCTTCTTCACCAAATTACCTAAATAAAGACATCAATCAAAACGAATTCATTTCATAATAGTGTCTCGTATATTATCCGATCTCCGGTTCGAATATTAATAACAATAGAAGCTACATTGACAACAATAATAAGTGCATAGTTAACGACGAATCTATATATTCAAACGATCATTCTATTATTATTTTTCTTTCATCTTTATAAAAATAGTGATCGTCATCAACGAGAACTAAAACAACAAAAAAAAAAAAAAAGGTAATATAACAATAATATTTTTACTACAAACTTGTTTAACATAAAAGCATTAGCCTCCAGTGTTTTAACGGCAAACAGATTAGCATAGTCTATCCTAAATATTACTAAAATCTTGTAATTATCGATATTTTTTTTTTTCTTTGTCTCATAAGATCATGATTATTCATATATTTCTTAAGATTATGCCTGCCTATAGGGATATCACAAATGGAAGTAATTAAGAAAATGTCATCGATAATACTTAGAAATCTTCTGTTTTTTTTTTGTTTTATAAAAAAGAGAATAATCTATTTAAACATATGGAATTAGTTTTACTCGTTACTGAATCTGTTGAGCATATATCTTCTTCTAGACTATCCTTGAGAACAATTAAACGGATTTGCTCTTTTCTTTATGCCTAGAACTTTATCATCGTCGTTTACTATAAAAACACACATATATATAAATTATCAGAAAATTGGAAATCTACATCTTACGCTTCTAATAAAATTATTATGATTGCCTATCCATCACTTGCATGTAATAGCTTCGAACTATTACTATAAGAACCAAGCAAAATAACAAAATCATTTCCTTGAAGACAAGACATCTTAATATATATATATATATATTTTTATGCAACTTCTGTTTTTTATTTTAATCAATGATAATATAAATAAAAGAAATGCTGTATGAACGAATATTCTATTTTTATTATTTCTTATACATTTTATTACCATTATTAATTATTGGTAATGAAGATTTAAATAGAATGGATGAAGAAACACGTTTAATACGTAGACTTTTAAAAGAAAAAGATTATTTAAAACATGTTCGTCCATCACAAACAGTCATGGTTGATATACGTTTTGTTTTCAATCAAATTATATCAATGGTTGAAAAAGAACAAATTATTGTTACTAATTGTTTTGTTGATCAAAAATGGACAGGTGATATATTAAAAAACAAAAAAAAATCTAATTTTTTATTGTTCTAAATAAAATTCATTTTCTAGATCTTCGACTTATTTGGAATCCATTAGAATTTAAAAATATTACTTGGATTCGAATACCAGCAGTATCTGTTTGGTAGACAAAATTTCAATAATAGATTTTTCAAAAAAAAAAAAAAAAATTTTTTTTTTAAATTTTATTTAGGTATCCAGATACATTTTTATATAATACAGCTGATAATGCTGGTTTTCTTCTTCCACAAGATTCACAAAATGTAATTGTAAGTTATAACGGAACAATATTTTGGCCATTACCATTGGCACAATTACGTACTCGATGTCGAATGACTATTAAACATTTTCCTTTCGGTACTTATATTTATTTTCAGCATAAAGAATGTTTAGATCACAATTTTTCTATTGTATAGATAGCGTGACAAAAAAGAAATATTCACTACCAAACGTACTTAGTCTTTCTTTTTTTTTTCTTGACATCTTCTATTAGTTGTCATGCAATCAAACCATATTTTACAGTTAAAAAATCAATAATAATTTCTTGATTAATACAATTTATTTTTTTATTTTTATTAGATGAACAAACATGTGATATGATATTTGGTTCATGGAGTCATACAAGTTCATTAATACATTATAGATTTTGGGAAAAAACTCCTGAATTACCACAATATACACCAAATAATGAATGGAAATTATTAGCTGTTGCACAATCAATGAAAACTGTTCAATATCCAAATTGGGTTGAACCGGATACATTTTTTGAAATTAATTTTACAATATTAATTGTACGAAAACCTTTACAAGCTATTTATAATACAGTTGTACCTGCATTAATGTTAACAACTTTAACACTTGTATCATTTTTTGTAAGTTTTATTATTTGTTCTAAATATATATATTTCAAATATTTTTTTCTTCCTTCAATAGATTCCCTTTGCACAAGAAATGCAAATTGGTAAATTTTGATAAATTGATAAGTTTATTAAATTTGGTTTTTCTTTTTAAATTATTCTTTATAGGTATTAGTATTATGTTAGCTTATTCTGTATTTAGTTTACGTTTATCAGAAGATGTTCCATCTCAAAGTGATAGTGTACATTTAATAAGTTTCTATTTAACTATTTGCATGTTCTTCTCATTATCAGCTATGACTTGGTTTGCTATAGCAAATAAATTACGTGAAAAAAAACGTTTACCTTATTGGCTTCGTTGGTTAGCACTTGATTATATTTGTTGGATTGTATGTGCAACAAGTATGCATCGAAAAGCCGTACGTACTGCTAAACAACAATCAAAAACTCCGACAATAACAACAACATCATCACCACCAGTTACAATTGCATTACAACCATTGCTTACAACAAATTCAAATGAATATTCAAATAATTCATATTCTCAACGAATTTCTTTACCAACTACAATGTCAGACAATATATCAATTCCTTCACCAACAGATAATATTCAATGTACTAATGAAACAATGACTACACCAAAAATATGGATACGACGAACATTATCTAATAATCAATTAACAATATTAAATGGACATGAAAATAGAAAAAAGAATCATGTATCTAAAAAACTTCGTCAATCACATAATCCATCAGTAACAAAAAGTCAAGAAAGTTTATATGCTGTACATATTATTAATCGTTTAGTTTTTTTAATGTTTCTTTTTATTGTTATCGTTATTAATATTTATACATGGTTTATTTATTCACGAACTGTTCAAACAAAATTATTTGATAAGGAAACATTATGGACATGTTTTGATGAATCTCGCCTTGAAGTTGTCAATTGTAATGAAACATTTTAATAAAATTAATGTACTATTCTTTTCATAGACAAAAATAAAATATACGAGCATTTTTTATTGATAAGCATCTACTTGTAAAAAGTAATAAAAACTCATTCGTATCTAATTATTCGGCAGTTAAAAATAGAGATATCTAATATTGTAAATTTATTTACTATATCTAACATTTTGATTGTCAATAAAAACAAAATATAAAATGTTCTGCAAAATAAAAAAATATTTACATTATCAAATAAGAAAATAGTAATAAATTGGATTTTGATAACAAAAAAATCCAATGTGTAGAAATCGATCATTGAGATTATCAACATTTTAACTAATGTACCGTTATTTGTACAAGTATTTGCACGATTAACCTTGTTTTTCATGAATAAATTAAGCGACTTACAAATACTTAAGATTTATTCAATACTCAATAATATTATTGCCTGAATGGAATTGATATTTGATCAAAGTAAAAGAACGTGTCGCATGCATGTCAGTCTCGAAAAACCGTCATTCAATCAAATATTCATCGATAAAAAAAAAAAAAAAAAGATGAAAAGAAATGTAGAAAAAAAATTTCTTTTTTTTTCTTCTAAATGTCTGATAACGGTGATATTTCTTTTTATATTGAAAGGTTGTTCGTGACCAACATTCATAAAAAAAAAAAGAAGCACACTTGGATATTTATTCATTCTCTCTTGAAAAGAAAAAAAAGAATAATAATTTGCAGTTCGATTATCAATAAAAATTCTTTCTATGTCAATAGAATCTCTAAGCAAAAAAAAAAAGAAAAAATTTTTTTTAACCACAACTTCCCACTTTTGCTAACTCCTACACAACGTATTCTTTTGTTGTTGTTTTGTATACTTTGAATAGTGTCGACGCAGATGGAATTTATTTTTATTGATAGAGCGCAAGAGCGTTGGTGGTAAAGAACAAAAAAAACACAGAGAGACCGAAACAGAGACGGAGCAGCAGAGAAAAAAAAATATTGTGGTAATAGTAGAAGTAAGAAAAAAAAAGGAGAAGGTGAGCAACTGGAATTTTGTCGATTACTTTTGTTCGTCTTGAAGTTTCTTTCGCTATAATAAGGGTATTAGCAATATGATGGAATAAAAAAATTTACATTTCTTTCTTCTTCTTTTTTCTTTTTTTTTTTTTCTTTAATTTTTAGCTTTTTATCAATCGGTGTTTTTTTAATAAACAAAAATGTACAGACGGCATGAAGAACGACACGAAGCAACTACACGTGACTATCATGAAATTCGTGAGACATCACCAACAACAGGAGCAACTTATCGATCATCAATTAATCCACGCGTAACTAATGTACAACGATCACGTCCATTGGCTTTTGGTGGCGGCGGCGGTGGTGGTGGTAGTGGTGTTATGACACGAATCTATCAAAGTTTTCAATCAAGTGGTAGACGTAGTGGTTTTGGTCCGGGTCTTGCGGCTTTAGCAAATTTTCCTGGTGTACCAATACGTGGTTCAAACATTGGAAGTACTGCTTTAGTTGGTCTAAATGCATCACGTCAACGTGATAAACGTGAACTTGAACAATTAAATGATAAATTTGCACAATATGTTGAAAAAGTGCGATTTTTAGAAGCACAAAATCGAAAATTGTTACTTGAATTAGAAGCATTACGAAATCGTTCAGGACAGTAAGTTTAAGAAAAATAAATTAAGAAAAATTTCTTTTTATTTTTATTTTTTCTTCTAGAGGTTCATCACGTATTAAAGAAATGTATGATATTGAAATGACTGAAGCAGGTAGATTAATTGATAGTGCAAAAAAAGATGCTGCTGCTGCTAATATTAAAGCACAACAAGCTGAACAAGAAGTTAAACGACAACGTGCACGATATAGTGAAACAGCTGGTTTAAGAGAAACTGATCGTAAAGAAGCCGATGCTATTGAACGACGAATTGCTGAAAATCAAGCTGTAAGATATGAATTTCTTTTCTTTTCTTTTTTTTGTTACAATAATCCTTGAAAATTCTAGTAATAATAATGATTTCTTTTAGTGAAGGATAAATGATTAAAGTCAAATATATATTGTGTTAATATTTACACATGCTATTCAGATATTCGATGCGATCGCGTGTAAATTACGCAATATTAGATTTTCTTTCTTTTTATTTTTTACTTTTATTATTTGTCATCATATATATAAGTAAAATTGATTATGAATAAGTATAATCTTTTATAATCACTTTCTACATGTAAAGAATTTTTATTCATAGACAGATGTCATTGAAATTTATTATCTGTTTTTTTCAGGTTAAAATTATTTACTACAGAATAACAAACACATACATAAAATATATAGACATTCGATAATCGTATATTTCAATAGGTTTTATTATGATAGTAAATTATTCTATGAGAATAATCATGACTTAATCAGCATTTTATTTAAATAAAAACAAATTCTTAGGTTTCGATGTATATAAAAAATTTCTTTTATAGCAAATCAATTTATTTCGACGTCGTATAGCTGACCTTGAAGATGAAGCACGACGATATAAAGCTGAAAGTCAACGTCTATCATCTGAAATAGCACGTATTCAACATGAAATTCAAAATGAATTATTTCTTAAATCATCATGTGATGTAGAAAAAATAGCTCTTCAAGATGAAATAGCTACACTTAAACAAATACGTAAGAATATTTTAAAAATTATTAAATCATTAATTTTTCTTTTTGATTTTTAGATGATGCTGATTTAGCTGAAATTCGTTCTCGAACTATATCTACTGATCTTGATCCAACAAAATTTTTTCGTAATGAATTATCACAAGCTATACGTGAAATTCGTAATGATTATGAAAACGTTGTTGATAGTCAACGTACTGATATACATAATCGTTTTCAAATAACATACAATGAACTTACTATGCGTTTACAACGACCAGATCAAAATCCACTTTATAATGAACAACAACGTCGACAAGAAGAACGTGTTCGTAGTGAAATATTACAAACACAAAATCGAAATGGTTATCTTAAAGCAACAAATCAAGATCTTAAAAATCGTATTGATGAACTTCAACGAAAACTTCATTCATTTCGTGAAGATGGTAGTTTAGGACAAGGTCGAGTGGCTAAAGATATTGAGGAAGCACGTCATCGATTAGAACGTGCTAATCGTGAATATAATGAAGTAACAAGTTTAAAAACATCATTAGAAAAAGAAATTAATACTTATAGAGAATTACTTGAAAGTAATTAAACATTTATAATTTATAATTTCTTTTATTATTTCTAAATAGGTCAAAGTGGTCTTCGTGGATATGTTGATCGAATTGTACAAAATGCTGAACAACAAGCTTTTGATCGATCTCTTGGTGTTGGTGGCGGTGGTGGTGGTGGTGGTGGTCGTACTGATGGATCAACAACAACTATTAGACGTACACTTTATACTACAGGTAGTAGTTCAACTGGATCTGGTGGTATTAGTAATCTTATAACTCAAAATACTCGACCAACAAGTGGTTATGAAACATTATCAAGTGGTTTTAGAAGTTCATTTCATGGTAGTACTGGTGGTAGTAATATAACACGACGAAATTGAGACTATTAGATGATTGTTTGTAAGCCATTCAATGGAAATAATAAACATTTTGAACTTACATATGTAGTCATTGAGTTGTCGTTGGTTTTATTTAAACTATTGTGATATAAATAACATAATAATTAATTACACCTTTTTTTTTCTTTTCGTGTTCAAAAATAAACAAAATTTTATGCATAGTGATATTGACTACAATAGTTATTTGAATAAAGGAAGTTTATGTAAGAAAAACAAAAAAAAAGCGCTATCCGACGATGATTAACGTACATTCGAATTTAATCAGAAATACACTGATCATAACTTCATCGTGTTATGCTCATTAAAACCAACTAACATGTAGTGGCAGATCTAACATGTTTTGCATCCAATATCATTAACTATACGATTGAAAATATTTGTTGTTATTATGAATCACACACCAAAGGCATCACGCCCTTTCCATGATTCCTCAAGATAGATTTCGACCAGTAGAGCAAAAATTGTCATACATTCAAATTTTCCAGATGCTTCCTTCTATGAAATATACGAAACACAAGTGTTAATAATGGCCTGCAGTTCTCTTTCTTCGCGTAAACAGCCATAATTCATTTTTTGTAACAATTAGAAGCAAAGTGGAGTGCATATTCTTTTTTTTCTTTTGTATTTGAAAAAATATTGTTTCGTTTGCTTAGAAGAACTGAAATATGACACGGTTCACCAAAAAAAAAGTGTTTTTTTGCTTTACAGCAAATATTTTAAGACCTCCAAAAATCACCATAATATCATTTTCAAATATATATATAACCCGATTTGATGATAGTTGTTATACAAAAAAATTTTAGCTCAATCGGTCGAAGTGTCTGAAGGAAAAAGAAAGAAAATGTGAATTTTTTCTGTTCAAAAATTGATTTTGAAAAAAACAGATAATTTTTGAATCCCCTACTTCAGACTATACAATGTGCACAAAAAATTTTGGGTCACGAAAGCAGGAGGCTGCCCTTAATCAAATGATATTGTAAAATATTTTCAAATTGTATAACTTTTTTTTAAATAAAAAACATTAGTCGGGATGATTCATTGTCTGTTTTGAATTACAATCCAATATGTAGAAGCCTTCAATATTAGAAAACTTGTTTTCATTGGATAAGATACAATTCTCACTGTCAGTATCAACATCGAAAAAATTTGTTCTTTTACAATGAGCAACGATGATGGGTATGGGTAAAGATGAGGAGTGAAGATTCGAATGTCTGCCAATTTTAATAAATAAGTACTTTGAATAAAATTTTGAGCTTTTAGTTAACTCCTATGATGGTAGGAGCCCATCAATTTGGCCCCTACAGACTCTTGTGAAAGTACTGGAACTTTACGGTACTTTTTAAGTCAATGTCGTCGTCTCCCATTGAAATAGTAGAAAAATTGATTTTTGCATTTCAACTTGCAACTTTGTACAGAGCGAAATCTTAATGAATAATAGCTTATTGTGAGAGTTTCAGATCTTTTTCGTTGTTTGTATCCTGATAAAAGATACTCTTTTACATCACTTCTATATACCAGAAGATTCCAATATTTTTATATTAGAATAGAAACAAATGAAAAGAACTAAAATTTTCATTGAGATCTATCCCTATGCATAGTTTCAAATTCAAAATTCGACTGTTAGTTTTCCTATATATAATAATTATAATAACAAATATTCTTCTACATCTGTTATAAAACACATTTGTATATATCATGTCTATTAATCAGATGCATCATTTTTTCTTAATCCAATTGTTTCTCTCATTTCGATCATCATCCAAATGTGTTATTGCAAAAAAATATATATATCTAAATCAGCTCTTCTTCTACTCACACAACTAACTGTGTAATAATTTCATTTCAATGTGTCAATAAAACCAATCTTAATTCAAAATATCAAGATTTTCACTATTGAAATTTTAAAAAATTTTTGTTTTTTTTTTCTGAAAAAATTTTTCATCATCTGTTTTCAATCCAATTGATCAAATAAAACAAAAATCTAATTGAAAACAAATTTAACAAGTTCCTGTTACAAATTACACATAATTTGTAAAGTGGCAAAATTAAATAAACTAGATAAAAAAAAATGTATCCGGTTACGATCAGAGAATTAAAAAACGAAAGAAAAATCATATATATATTCATCGAAATCTATATGAAAGAAAACCGAGACACGTGTTGTGAGTTTTCATATTTTGTTTATCTTGTCCTCATCAGCTGTTTTTATAAATTTTTTTTTTTGTTTTTGATTTCATAGTCGACTATGATGTTTAGGGTCTTAATTGATGTTTTTTTATCATAACTAATTGATGTCTCATCATTTCGTCTTCCAATACGAATATTAGTTGTCATCTTCAATTCAACCAATTGAACAATTTCTCTCTCTTTCTTTGAAAGAGAAAAAAAAGATAAATTGTATATTATAATACGACGAACGATCATTTTCTTCTTTTTCATTACGTCACTAACATATATATTCATCGTTTTTGTCATTAGTATTGTATTCGAATTTTTCAAAAAAAGAAATGATTCGTATTAAACAAGAGCCTGATGCATTAGATTTAACTAATCGACGACAACATTTACTTTCACCTACAATTGAAGATGATGATGATGATGAAGAAGAAGAAGAAAATTTTTCTACTGAAGATGATAACCATGAGTGTATTTCAAAGGTATATATAAACTCAAAAAATATTTCGATATTTTATTTTTTGTAATTTAGAAAACAACATATGATAGTGGTTTTGTTGATACAAGTGATGTAAATAATAGTTCAATTATGGTTAAACAAGGTGGGTTGAACCTATCCTAATGAATATATCCACCACAGGAATAATATTCATTTTCAATGTCCCATCTTGTATATCTCTCTACACCTCAAGCAATAAAATTTCCCGTCAGTAGGAGGTCTCATATAATTGTTTGAATGAATAGAAACAATATTGTAGACACCTTTCTCTTGATCAATTAAACCCTGGAGGTTCTTTTTTTTTGTTTTGTATTAATATAGAACAAAATCATCATCATTATCATAGTACTCCACTTCGTCCTCAACAAATACATTCACATATTCGTCATCCAAGTACAAGTAGTAGTACATGTTCATCACCAGCACGTCAAGAACAATCAAATGATAAAGAATGTCGAAATACACGGTACAAAAACAAAAAAAACCAAATTTGATTGGTTAAAAAAAACAATTTTTTTTTAGATTTTTGGGTAGTCGAGCTGTTGCAATTTTAAATCAATGGTTTCAATTAAATCGTGAGTATCCATATCCGGATGATGAACGAACAGAACAATTAGCTAATGAAGCAGGTAAACTTTCTTGAAAACTTTTTTTATTAAAATACTAATCAAATTTCATAGGTATTACTCAAAAACAAGTTAAAAAATGGTTTGCTAATAAACGTGTACGTAGTCAATTATGTTATAAACCATTATATCGATCTCGAAAAGTAATGCAATATTGAATCTTTTTGTTGTTCATATTTAAATTTTTTTGTTTTTTTTTATTTAGCCTCGAAATCCAACATCAATTCCCGAACGTCAAACACAAACAAATTATAATTATATTATTAATCATAATAATATTGCAACACCACCTTCAACAAATCCAATATTATTTAATCCAATGGCAACATCAATGATGATGTTTATGATGCAACAACATTTTTTAACAACAATGATGACTGCTGGTTTTCATCAAGCACCAATACCACCACCGCCACCACCACCAGCACCACAGATAACAACAAATACACGAAAACCAAATGTTGATCGAATTACTCGTTTTTGGTTATAAGGAAAACTAATACCGACAGACAATGAGAAAAGACACTCTCAATGATATACAGCATTTATTTGTTTTTTGTTGTCTTCTTTATACTTTGTTCTTTTTCTTTTTCGCATTGCAACGAAATGTGTATATGTGAGAGTGTATTTTTATCTATTAAAGCTAAAAAAAAAAAACTTAAATGAATTTTATGTGCAAGTTGGAGAATAACAGAAGACAAGTATATGTTTTATTCAGATTTTCTCTTCCGAAAGGTGAATAGATATTTTTACATGGTACAATAACCACAAATTCTAGGAGAGGCTTCGCTCTCCCTCTCCACGTTGGATAGAACATTGAGACAAGTACATGAAATTTTTTCTTCCTAGATTCGTTCACATTGTTGCTTGTAATAAAATTATTATTGTCAGAGATAGAAGAAGATTTTTGATAACGGATTATTCAAAGATATGTTTAGGAGAAGCAGAAAAGTTCAGTTTAGACGAAGAAAATTGACGTTTTTTTTAGGAATAGTCTAATTTGCAGTACGTTGTACAGGATGGTCCAAAAGTAACTCGGCAGTCTTTGATTATGAATAACTTTCGATAGGAACAAGATAGAGAATTGCGATTTTCATCATTATGAAGACGCATTAAATCATATATTGTAAGTTTTTCTAAGATGTAATTCTTAATTAATTCTCTAAAAAAATCGCCGAAGAATGATTTCTTATAAAATAAGTGTTCTTTTTACAAAAGTTAATAGAAAAAATGACTCAGGATTTCGAGTAGAATGGCTATAATTTCTTAAGAAGTATTTTATAGGTTTTCGACTAGCGGTTCGAGTGCATACCTGATCATAAAAAATTCAGTGTAGTCACCTTACGGTGTACATTGGTTTAGGTCCTTGAAAAAAACTAGGTCATACTATCTTATATTATATAGTTCGTTGCGTCATTCATCTTTTCTTTCGAATGATGAAAACTGCAGCTCTCTATCTTGTTCCTATTCAAAGTTATTCGCAATCAAAGACCGACCGTTTTGCATAGAATTAAAGCTGAGATTGCTGTCTACAAAATGATATGCGAATCAAGATTTTCACAATAATTATTCAGACATGGGCGAGCTCACTTTGCAATACTCACTGTTGACAAATGACTTGTATTCTAGAAGTTAAAAATAGTCGATAATTTTCTTAGGTAACACTTAAGGTATGTTTATTTGATGTTAATTGAGAAAAACATTCGATCGAAAAGATAAAAGTATTATTCATATTGCACAGGTAGGGATTCGTGTTTTCTTCTTTTCTTTCTCTCTGTCTCTTTCTCGAGAGAGAGAAAACCGTTGTCTTCTTTGATGTTTCTCCAATGCTATCGAATGGTCTGGCCACTTTTGTCGTTCGATTTCCAATCGATATGTCATTTCCCACTATGTTCCAATTAATATTACCTGTATTCATGCGACAAGTCATTTTGTTTTTTTATTTTGAATATATACAAGCATGAAACAGGCCGCTTCGCAGTATGACGTCTATTGTTCGCACGTACACATTATTTAGTTTGCTCGTCTCATATATATATATATATATATACGACAATTATCGAATATCCAACCTTCATTTCTCACCTAGAATAGATTATCTATCGATCTGATCGTTATTTATGTAAAAGGTAAAAGAGCATTCATAGCGAAAATATGTTCGATTTAGATCTATATCTTGATTCAAAGATATGTATGTGTATATATATATATATAATCGAATTAAATAAGATTGAAGAAAATTCAAGTTTGTTTTTTTTTTGTGATGAAATGAAGAGTTAATTTTTAAGAATTTTATAAAAAGAAAGTAGTATAATCTAAACTAAATTAGATATTATTTTGATGACGAATGGTCAATTAAAGATGAAAGTTATACAAATGATTTAATTTCAATATTAAGAATAAATTGATCGTTTATTTAATAGATTATATAATCATGTATAACAATCGTTCAAACTATTTTAATTGATGACATGATATATATACATATATTTCAATGATCTCTCTCTAAATTGATATATTATAAGAGATACAATTATTTTAACAAATCAAATGGATATCTTAACTGTAAATGAAACTCTATGAGTTACCATTCAGTGAATAAACTTATCTTTCATCAATTCAACATAGTTTTGATTTTTAAATATTTTTCTCTCGATTATTTTATTACATATCTCACAAGAAAAAAGAACGTCTTATACAAAAGTTGAATATTTTGAGAAAGAGGAAATTTTTGAATAAAATTGATAGTATTTACTAGTACACGCTCATTCGATTGAGTGAGTAACCTATTACACTCTAAAAGACAAATATTTTACCAAATCTGTGCTCATATGAAAAATCTTGATGAGTTGATCGCATTTGATAAAGAGTATAAAATACCTTTTTTGACATAATAGGTCACGAAAGATAAAATTCGACTACGTTCTGATAGTCTAGCTTGTGCTAATATTGTGAAAAGTATCAAGTCGAGAAAAGATACTTCGCATGAATCTATTGAACATGATGTAGAACTATGCCTTACGAATTGTTCTAAAGACTATCACACTCTAAAAGCATTTTGAATCATGTATTTCGTAATATTTTTTTAGAAAATAAGTGTAAATTTGAAATTATAAGAACTTTTATTATATAAAAATAATCCCGTACTTAAAGGGTTAAGGCCTATACAAGGCATAGAGATAGTCCAGACTTCAAAATGATTAGTCTGTTGACGGACTTTCCTCGTCAGATTACTCTAGATATCTAAGGACTCACTCATACAATGTCAATGTAGTAATCCACATGGTTTTCAAATGGCGTCTTGATTAGATATGTTCAAGATAAACTTTTTTTCATACTTCCCTACTCTACATTTTTCTTATCTTAATCTTACCTTCAGCTTGCACAACTATAACTTTAGTATATTACTAGACAAGTAAATTATTATTCATATGAAAGTGGTAATTGATTGATTTCGATCGGGAAGGTCATTTCAAGAAAATAGTTGAATTTGATAAACATAAACTAAAGGTTTTCGGTAGTCTAGAAATTCGAATCTATAGAAGATTTGTCGAAATTCTTCAATTTTCGATATTCGCGTCCTAGAGAAGGTTCAGCTTTCATGGTTTAGGCATATATTTTTTATCGAAAATTTTATCATGCAGCGCTCTATTTAACCCTTTGGGGACGGATTTTTTTTCTGTACATTTCATCATAAATCAATCAACATTTCTATTTTCTAAAAGAACCTATTATCCATTACTGGATATCTGAATAAAATAACCTAATTACAATCCAAATTATACGAAAAAACTCTCTGATAAATGCTTTCATAAAAACTAATCTCATATAGAAAGCTGTGTGTTTTGAAATGCTAGAGAATCACCATGGCCCCTGAAGGGGCCAACCGTCCCCAAAGGGTTAAGATCGGAGATCACTGTCATCATTGCATCCATATTTATAACAAATTTTTTATTATTTTTGTGTATAATATTGAAATATGAGATAATAGGAAATGACAATTCGTTAGTAGATTTGTATTTGAGTGAATATGAGTCAAATAAGCACAAAAAAAAAAGAAATAGTCAATATTATAATTATTTTATCATTTTTTCAATTGTTTTGTAATTCTGAAACAAGTTGTCTATATCGTGGATCATCAGTTGCATTTGTTTGTATATGTTTTTGTCGTCGTTGTGCACTTATTTTACGCATTTCTAATCCATGTTTATGTTTAAAAAGTTTTGATGAATGTGGTGCATTTAAAATTTCTAACATAACTGGTTGTATATGTAAAAATTTTCGTTTAATTTTTTCATCAGTTATTACAGGATGTTCATTTTTTTGAATTTCAAAAGAATCTTGTATAAATGATGAACTTTCTGATGAATATATTGTTGGTACAAATATATGACTTGTACGATTTTTATTCATAGTTTCTTTATTCCATGTTGTTCGACATGTATCTCGATATGATTTATCTAAATTAAACCATTGACGTCGTTTTGATAAATGTCCATGTGTAAATAAATGATCATAAGCATGGCGACGTCGTTGTGTATCACGATTAAAACATTGAAGTTGATCTAATTTACGACTTATTTCACGTTGATATTCATTTTCAGATTTAACTAATAATTGAGTATATAAACTTGGAAGTCGATTGATACTTGATTGTTTACCTTTTTTACTATTAAAAGAGAAAAATAAGATTAATGCATGGTGAAATTTTAGACAAATAATTTGATATCGTCTGAAAAAACGATCGATTAAAGCATGAGGCATATGAAAAGAGTTAAAACAATTTTTGGCGAAGAGTTTGCTAGTCTAGAGAACCAGCATATGAGCACCTAAGGAGATTTTTCGTAGTTATAGTCGATAACATACAATAAACTAACCCTCGGTAAGAAAGCAATTGGTCAGTTGAAAACATTCTCTTATAAGTAGTACTGTTCTTTTAATTGAATATATTTTATTTTGTTAAAAACATAAAAATTGAGATAAATGATGGGAAGTAAGGAACTGTGGATCTACATTTTTGTGGACCCGGACCTGGTCGGATCCAAACTCGAGGTTTTTTCCATGAATGCCTGGCACCTTTCGTGTACATGAACAAGTGAAGGATCAGGGATTCTCTACTGTCAGAAAAAAAATACTCAACGTACAGTTATATCTTGTTGCAGGATTTCTCATCTGGGAAGTAGCGGGTCCACCAAAACGTGTAATTGGACCTAACAAAAAAATAAAAAGTTGGATCCGGATCCGAAAAAAAAATAAAATTTTGGATCCGTCTAGGTCCGGAAGAACCTGCAGCTTCCTAATGGGAAGATAACAAAAGGTCTGATCTTTTGTAAACTACATGATTTTTTATTTGGCACCTCGTTTTTTTGCAAAACTTCCATCATTTTCTTTTTTTTGTTTTAATCGCCCATCTCAGAATTCTCGAAGGAGCTTCATTGTAACCAATGCCGTTTTTATTACTTAAAAGAATAGTATAGGGCTGAAAATTTTACCGTAAAAATTTTCATGTGATTTGAATGCATCTAGTCCAAGCACAATTTTTCAGAGGACTTGATGTTATCAATACAGATCGAAATAAAATAATCACGCCCTTATTGTTCTTGAGAAATTGGAAAAAGAAAAAAAATTTTCTTTTTCTACTTACGAATTCATTTTCATCAAATATAATTGACTTTTTTTCTCTTCAATCTTTCGATAAAATGAGAAATTGAAAAAAACAAAATCGATAATGGTTGTTCGTCAAATCAATATTTTTAATACTTCAAATTCATCGTATATTTACCAAGAGAGAGAACAAGAAAACGACATATTTTATAACTGATCAAACACATTTAAATAAAAAAAAACATTTTACAGGGTAAAAGTTATGACATTCTGATGGCTTACTTTGCATCACTAAGAAAATTATTAGATGTTCGAATCATTATAAGAGCAAAAACGAAGAAGAAACTTGTTGTAAAAAAAAATAATAACAACAAAAAAGTAAAGCCAATTTAATAAAAAAATTAACATGTTCTCATTTTATTTTAATAGAATATCTGTTGAAGAATTAGCTTGATGATTTTAAGAATACAAAAGAAAAACTTATCGATTGTCATATTGAATATAGCAATGATATTTATTTAGCTAAAAAAAAATCTAAATTTCTTATGTGTAATTGGATATCTTGAAAGATTTCTTTTTTTATTACAATAAATTTTTTTTTTCAGGTACACTTTAGCGATCATATTTGTTTATAAAGTACATAGGATGGTCGTAAAAACTCTTGAAAAAAAAAGAATTGTTGTTAAGCATTAATATTGGTTGTCTGTGTATGGTTCACGACATTGCGCCTCAATGAATTTTGATTGATTAAAACAATAATTAACCGATGTGGTTCAAACTGGACAAAAAAAAGCCACTGACAATCAACTGGTGGTAGTTTGATATTGAAATTGTCATAGTTCTTATGGTTACTGCAGTATACCGACAATAATGTGAATAGACATACAACATGAGAAGCTGAACTTTGCATTCTGGTTGATTATTTTGTTATAATTAATGATAATAATACTTGATCATTGAATGCAAATTTGAGAGATAGTGCTTAGTTAAAGCATAAAAAAATCCAATGATCGTCTTAAATAAAGTGCTGCACAGTGTGTGTGTCATTCATTTTGAACTGATTTAAGTCCAAATATAGTAATACTGAAACATGTACATCTTTAATGAAGCATATCATGATCGAATTTAGATTAATCTAAGATGGAGTATTTGAGTCTTGTGATATCAAACATAGAATAATATTCCTTCATAAAAACTTTTTTTTTGTCATGATGAATCGAATCTATCCGATAAGGAGCATGCAAAAAAAACAACTAAAATAATAATCTCAATAGTATTTGATAATCAATCTTAATTAGAAAAGCTAAATTCAAAATATAATATTTGCAATTATATCTATGAAATATTTTAAGCATTGATTGATGTATACAAAATATTTTTAATTTTTTATATGCGTTTCAAATGATCGAATTTTTCTTCTAACCTTACTTCATCATTCTCTAGTTAAATCTCTCGTATTTGATGCTTGGATAAATATGAAATAACATTATCCAACAGTAGGTTTCTGTGACTTCGCGCAAAATCAAAACACATGTACCTCGGGATAATGAACTTTCTTACAGTTAATTTTTGAAATGTTGCATACGGGTTAAGTTACTGTAGATACTTCAAAAAAATCAACGCAAAAGACCTTTGTTCGGAGGAGTCGCCAGTAACCGTATGAGAAGTTCAAAACGATATAAATCCTTCATGAGAATTTCTAGATGATAGTATGATCTTGTTGAAAATTTCACCATAGATGCAATTCACATCGTAGTCTCTCCAAAAGTTTCCTGATTTTTTTCTCGTATGATTAAAGATATATTCGCTAATAATTTTTTTTATTAATAATCTTCTGAAAGAGTCAACATTTTTATAGATGGTCTATGCTAAACGAATTTATTCAAAAATATAATCCTTATCAAGAATGTCTCATTTTGCTTGAAATGGTCCATATATATATAAATTACATTACATTTGTTTTGCTTTTGGTCTATTTCAGATATGATACTAATTTAGGATACTGTTCACCAGATAAAAAATACTTAATAACAACACAACAATGTTGTTCTTGGTTTGCTAATCGATGTCAACGTTTTAAACAGGTTAAAAGAAATCAACTAAGAACATCGTTTCATAAAAACAAGGTCAACAAAATCAAATTACAAATTGTTAAAAGTGAAAAAAATATTTGTTTTTTTCTTTCTTTAAGATTAGCGCAAATATTATCACTGGAAAGAAGAACCTCAAATATATGAATATTGTCAACAAAAATAAATAAATATCATAATTTCTATCATTTTTATTACTACCAACATTAAATCTTGTAATTCAATGAACAAATAATTCATAATAATCTTTATAAAATCACTCTAATAAATTATAATGTGATAGTTCGTTATATATTTTATTCATTGTTTTTCTTATTAAGTGATTTTTTTTCATGTTTGTGCATAGTAAAACAAACATTAATCATCTCTTTTTCTTTGCAAGTAAGTTATTTTGTTTGTCTATTGAAGTTTCTCTCGTGTTATATTTATTAAAGTCTCATTTATTATTTAACTAACACGGAAACATTCTCAGGTGTCTCGCTCCGATTTCATTCGTTTATATGTCATTCGATTGAGAATGTCGAGTAGGTAAAAAGTCTAAAAGGATTGGGATCGATAGCTTTTTATCTACTCGAGATCCTCTATCGAATAATATATAAACGAAGGAAATCGGAGCGAGACACCTGGAAATATTTTCTTATGGGATAGATAAATACTTAGCTATCATGCCGCCACACATACTTTTGATTAATATAGTATTTGAGTACTTGAAAAAATATTTGTATGTGTCCAGTACGACACATTATGAATATTTTAATGCTAAAGTTTACATACGAATATGCGATCGAAAAATGTCTTTATTAATCATGCTCAAAAAAAAAGCCAACAGATAGATTTTCATTTTTGTTCGTTATTTAATCGGAAATGAAATTGCGACAAAAAAAAATAGCATCTTTTTAATATATGAAAACATAAACAAAGACAATCATATAAAAAAAGAGAAAAGAGATTAATTTGTTCATATTTAATCGAATTTGAGGAATGAATATTTGTGCATAATAATTATTATGTCATGTTTAATATCCAATGAATGTATTTTATTATTCAATACCATTTCATTTTAGTTAAAAGTTAGTATTTTGAACTTTTTTCTTTGGTAAATTTGTTTGTTGATTCGATTTTCCTGCATCCTTCACATTTACAATACGAAAACTTTCTAGAATATAAAAACAAAAATTCAAATTTTATTGTACATAAAACGATTAGTTCAATAGATCTTTTCATTTCATTCTTTAAAATAAATATTTTATTATTTTTTTTCGAAGAACACAAAAGATTTTGTTTATTGTTGTCAACACTTACACATCATACATGTGGTATATAAGAACTAACTCTAAGAAAGTTTATACACGTGCCTTAATTTTGTGAAGTCATGTCCGTATGTAGGACATTTATTTAGGCTACACAAATTCAATGTCTCAGAAAAGTTTTAGATAAATCGAAATTAAACTTTAATGTATCAGATTTCAAGATTTTAAATTCAATGAATTCTGATTTTGAGTGTTTATAGATTCTTCGAAAACAGATTTAGATGATTTTCACCAATCTTCCAACATAAAGATATAGGAAATTAAGTTTATGAAATTCTAATTTGACTACAAGAAATTTGATTTCGATCTATCCTACATAGTCGACTGTAGATAAATTGCATATTGAAATCTTACCAAGAAATTCATTAATATCAATTTTTCCATTTTTATCTAAATCCATAGCAGAGCTAAGTTCTTCAATATATGCTTCATTTACATCACCGGTGCCATTTTCACCACGAAGTAAAAGTTTAACAACATCAGAAAATTCATTACGACTTATAAAACCTATAATATTATGTATAATAGATAAATATTCATCAAAATAAAAACCAATCATACCTGAATGATTATAATCTATTAAATTAAATAATAACATAAGCATATCTTTCCACATATATAAATCTTCCATAATACCGGGATTAGACTAAAACAATAAGAATATAATATTAATTGATAATTTTTTAAAAATACCATTTGAAGTTTTGTATTATCTAAAATGTATCCCTCAAACATAGTATTATAAAGAATTCCTTGTGTATCTTCTTGTACAAGTTTTGAACGTAATGTAAGCCAAGGTAAATCAATTTGAAGTACAGTGGCCATAATTTCAGACCAAACTGTTAATGGTAAATGCTCTAATTAGACACAAGAAAAAAAAAAAGAAATTCTTATTCAAACAAAAAAAAACCAATATTATTATTGTAAATTGTCTACTAGTTTTATTTTTATCTGCTTTTTCAAATTCTTTTTGAAGTGAACTTTTATTTGTCATAATTTTTTCCACTAATGATTGATAAACTGGATCTTCAAATAATGTTACTCTTGAAGAAATTAAAAAAAATAATAATAATAAAAATATCTTCATATTGATTATCTTACTGTTTATTAAAACTTAATTTTTCCATTTCAACAGATTCAGTTTTATATTGAATTAACCATGGCTCTTGTTCATTATAATCCCTAAAATAAATTTTATATTTAAAACAAACAAATATCATTGATACAAACCATCGTACAACTGCACCCCAATTAGATCCACCACAATAATTTGATGCACTAAAAACTGTTAAAACTTTACGATCATGTGTAAATTCATAACCTTCTTGTTTAACTTGATGTGAACGTATAAGCATTGAAAGATTATATTTATTAAGAAATTGTTCTGTTATATCTGGACCAAAAAAACAAGCCATCTTTCTTGCATCATTTTTTCTACAACCTTGACGATTATGAGGATCTGGATCACTCCAAAATAAATCTAAATATATTTCAAACAAATAAATATATGAAATTATTTATTTATATTATTTCGCTACCTTGTATTTGACGATATTCACTATCTTCATCAGGAGTTAATCGTTTACCACCACTTTTAGATTCTGGTTGTACTTCAATTGAAACATCTAACAAAAAAAAAATAAACATTAACATTAACATTAATTAAGAAAGTAGAAATTCGAAATTTGAGCAAAATGTTTTTTTTTCTCCGACATTTGTTCGTCATGGTTGAATAGAATTAGACAAAAAATCTAAGAATAACTTCGGAAAAAGTGTTCACAATTGATCATAACTAACATGAAGAATTGCTAGAAGTAAGTTAATTCTCAATACTGAAAATATTCTAAACTCTAATTAGAAATTCAATATATTGGTTTCTCCTTAAGAGCTATTAGCGCAATCCCTGCGGGATTATAATGTGAAACACGATATAGCTGTTGTTACTAATCACCAGAATATTGTTTTATTCGATCTATCTGCAGATCCATTTTTTATCAACGTTTACTTATCCTCTGGAACTCAAAAAGAAAGTAGTTTATATACTTTCATGAGAGCTTAATGATATATACTCAGTAATCATGCATCAAAAAGGTTTGTGGTAGAGAAGGAAGGGATCCAAATTTCTACTCTATATACCTCATTACACCTTTCAGATCGTGTTTCAAAATCAATTGGAATTATCCAAACAAAAAAAATGTCATCTTTGACATTATGTTCGAGGAATTGGTATATCTCTACGTAATCTCAATATTTAACCGAATTTTCTCATATAATTAGACCAAAAAATCATGCATACTTTTTTGAAAAATATTGTTTAATTATTGAAAAAGTTCGATTTTTTTTTCTATGATAGCAAAACGCCATAAATACGAATTTTTATTCTACGATTTTGACTATCTGAATATCACTTCCAAAATAAACAAATAGAATCAATACAAAAGTCTGCATCGAATAGTATACTCAATATTGTCAAATTTCATTTGTTACATCCCGTTACTGTTATTTTCGATTATTCTGATGACCTATGATTCTTCTAAGGACTGAAATTCAACGAAAATTAATAATTTTGAGCATTGATTATATTATTCGATGTAGATTCTAAATATGATACTTATGTTTTTGAAATTCAAGTTCAAATAGTGAATATTGGTATTTTGCTATGATGTCGAAAAAAATTGATTTTCTCAATAAAGTTTTTTTTTTCCTAGGCATTTGACGAGTAAAATCAAAATAAAATTTAGATAAACATCGAGGATTGATGCTTTCAATTTTTACAGGCTTTAGTGACCTTTTTTTTTTCAGTAAATTTTCACTAAAATATGTCGAAAAAGAAAACGTTAGAAAACATATTGCTCAAATTTCGAATTGTCAACGTATGTTTATATCATTTTTAATCTTACATCGATTTCTTGTAAGAGTATTTATTTTTTTTAAATTAACTCGATCAGATATTCCACCATGTACTATCATAATTTTAGGTTTTCCTGCATCGACATATGAATAAATTGGTAACCAACTAAATATATCTTTAAATAAATCGAGTAATGGTGTTTTACGTGCCTAGATATGTATATATATATATTGAATAGATTAATATTATTGATAAATTATGAACTAACCGGATATTTTTGATTAACTTCATTTTGAAAACCATATCGAACTGTAACCATTATATCTTCATGATTACCTTTTCAATTTTAGAATGTTTAATCAAAAAATAACAATAAGAAGAAAAAAAAAGTAATACCTCGATTAAGAAAGACTGAACTTGGAAAAACAATCAATGCAGCCAAAAGTAAAAGAAGAACTTCAACTGAATTTCGACCTCGATCAACAAAATCTCCATTAAATATATATGAATTGTCAGTTGCAGGTAGACCATTCTATAGGTAATTTAAATAGATTAAAAAAAAACAAAAGAAATTCTTTATAAATATTTAGTCTACCGCATTAAATATATGTAATAAATCAGCTAATTGTCCATGAAGATCACCAATAATATATATATGATGTAAATTAGATAGATCAATATGATTAAAATTTGGTAAAGTTTTAAGTATAGCACGTGCTTGATGAAGAATTTGACAAACATATTTTTCATGTAAAACCTATCAAGAGATAAACGATCATAGATTATAATTATATAAAGACTTATGCAAACGAGACTTCCAATTTTCTTTAGGAATTATAATGATTACAGAATCAGTTATACTATTTTGTCATAAGACGTACATCTATAGAGAATGAAGCGAAAATGTTTATTGAGCATTGTTATCGGTTAAACATCTCGTTGTAATAAAAGCTCTCGGAGAGCTTCTAAAATGTTAAAGTATTCAAAAATTTTACGAGAAGAGGACAGTATGTATTTTTTTGGAGGAAAAATGCCTGAAAGGAAGGTATATATGTTCTTCGTCGAAAGTACTTTTTGGCCACGGAGGGTACCCCAAACGTGCGCGTGAGGGCAGAATGAGTTGACCTCTTCATGCTGAACAAACCTATATAAGAATTAAAGAGCTCGCAGCAGTCTAAAGTGTCCTACGAATCTTTCGACGAAATGCTTTTCGGCGAAGAAGGTTACAATCGACTTGAGTGAAGGTGTTACCGAAGAAAAGACTCACACGTCATACCGTGATATTACAAGCAGAAGAAATATGAATTATGATAATATATTATAGTGTTCAAATACCTATTTCCAGACAAAGTGGCGACTACAAAATACATAGTGACTATAATCTGAGATGTTGACGAAACATTTTTTTTGATACGTAGATGACGTCTGACCAAAATTAATTTAATAGCATTTATAAAGCTTTGCTCAAAAGTTTGAAATTGTATGGACACAGTTGCAGTTCTAGGACTTCTAATATAGAGTCTTCTATTTTGGTAAGTGATTTAGTACAAATATTTACTAATCATTATTACATGATGTTGATGTTATTGCATCTCTACTGTGACAGAAAAAGTTGATTTGTGAAATCGAATGTGTCTTCGTGAATATACTGTTTGCATTCAATTTACATTAAAGCGAACATTCAATCAAATGGTTTCTATACCTCGAAGATCGCATTCATTCTGTTTTTTTTCTTCATAAACATCGTTCAAAAATGAAAGTTTGACCGATATACGGAGAAGACTATAAGGTCTGCTATATTGGGATACCCATAGATCCTCAAGAACTATTATATGGAGATACCCATAGGTCCTCAAGAGCTGTTATATGAGGGTGGCCATAGGTCTTTAAGGGCTGTAAGGCTATAAGGGGTAGAGGATAAGAGGCTAAGGCTATAAGGGTAATGGGATAAGAGGCTAAGGCTACAGATACAGAAGGGGTAAAACTAAAAGAGTATAAGGAGATAAGCGTATAGTGAATAAGTAGATAAGGCTCCATGAAATGTAAGAAATAAAAAAATAACGGAATAAGGTTATAAGAGGTAATATCATAAGAATATAAGGCTGCAAGGGTATAAGGTCTCTCGATATATATAATGCGAACTGTCTGATTGTCTATTACCGAATCAAGGCTAAAGGACAGATGTGAAATTTTACAGGAAAAAAGCATCCGTGCAGTATGTACGGACTCTCGCTAGTATATAAACTATTACTTACTTCAAGTCTTTTAATATACCTTCAAAAGTCTGAGTGAAATAATAATACTTGTGATAGAAATGATGCTTGTGTCCTGTTACATGAATTCAAGTTACTAAAACATATTTTCTAAGTATTCAGGAGAACATTTTTCTTATAATATCAAAATTATTCATGTAAGGAGAAAGGTCTTCACAAGTACAAAACTTTCAACTAGATTTCTATTTTTTTTTGTTAGTCCTATCAAAAGAATGTGATTTTGAAGATGAGAAAACTATTTAACAAAATCATATAAAATCTAAATATGTTAGTCAAGAAGAGAGACAAATGATCATATCATAGAAGAATTACGAATATTTAAAACTATGAATTTCATAGATAAAGTGTAGTTAGTTTCTTTCATGTCATTAATATGATTCTTGAAGTTGAACTCATCTACTTATAGATGAAATTTTAAGTCAAAAATCTTTTTTGTTTAATTTTCTTGTCAATCTAGCAAAAAATCTTATAAGTATAGCTTCTCTGATTCACAATTTTTAGATCCGAATCGAACCATAGTCATAATTTAGTCTGAGTCTAATAGTTGCTCTCGAGAAGCGAAACTTTTTTTTTTTTATGAATAAGAATCAAGTCATAATTGACTGTTACTTTTAGAATATGACTTGTTGGGTTGGTCCGACGGGCTCTAATCGTAACTCTATAGAGAAAATTTGTGGGATTATTCTAATCTAGAAGTTCCGTTTATATGCCTAAAATATGGTTACAAAAGTAATAAATCACTTCGTGCGGTTCATTCATGAGATAAAGAACTAGATTATTTCGACATGTGGTTTTTTGAGGAAAAAATTATTCTATCTCAAAATATTCCCTGAAGGAATACTGATATTGATGTTAGCGTAACTCAGTGAATTGGAAATTCTTATTTGAAACAGATATATGAAGCAATTATATGTTTGGAATTCAGCACAATAATTGGCCTAATAAAATAAAAACATTTAGTAGATCTACTATCTCACTTTTACAATAGTAATTATCTTTTTTTTTTTTCAAGTCTGATATTCTTAACTAATCGTTAATATTCAAGATGAATAATTAAATCTTAATCCTCTACAGGTTGTGTTGAATACTTTGTCTCACTTACTTGTCCATGTTGAAAAGCTTCAATTAAATCTACAAATGTCTTTCTTGTAATTGGACCTTCGATACCTACAAAAATAAATGAATTATCAATTCATTTAATTTAAAAAAAAAAAGTAACGAATAATAACTTACGTGGTCCTTGATAAGTATGTTCAACAGGAATATTATCAGGATTTGTTAATCTTAAAAGTTCTTTTTCTTCTATATAAAAATGAAATTGAGTATATCTATTGTCTATGTTATATCTACATAATACATTACCTACAGGTAATCCAGCTTTTTGAAGTGATTTTGCAACAGATGGTGAAAGTAAATCAGACGATTTGAGTAATCTTTCAAACATATCTTTAAGCTAAGATATATATATATATATATATATAAATAAATTTCAAATCCAAATTTAATTACAAAAACAAAAAACACAAAAAGATATTTTCTTTACTTTTGCTTGAGTTTGTTCACTAGAATATTCAAGTTTTTCATGTATTTGCCATGCTGCTTGTTTTTTTAATTTAAGTCGAGCTTGATGATTACGAAATGCAGCTTGAATTTTCGATGCAGATTTGTCAGCTAAAATAAAAAAATTTTTTTTCTTAATTAAAACTATTTTCATCATTCATGTTCCATAAGTCGTCATAAAATATTTAGGATCGTCATGAGAGAAAAACCAACGACAAAGGAATGAAAATAATAAAAATTTATACCTGACATTGATGATAATCGAGTAACCATTTTAAATTGATCTGGTTGACCCAATACTGATGCTGCTTGTGGTACAATCTGAACGAAAACAAAAAAATAAAAAATAAAAATTAGTTCTGAAAATTCTATCTTTCGAAAAAAAACAAAAATCGAATGATTTCTAAACATATGGTAGGATATATTTTCTGTTTAAATCTCTAAACAATGATTATTTACGGCATAAAATATCAATTTAATGAAAACAAATTTCTTTCCTGTAATGTCAAACAGAAACAATCAATCATCATTTTATAATCAAATATCAATTGACTTCGATAAATGGCATAAAGAAACAAATATGCTACAGACATTAACTATATACAAAACAACAATTATTATTCTCACCTGAGACAATTTTGAAGAGTTCATAATATTCTTTTCTTTTTTTTAAAAGGATATACCACTAATGACAAGTGAAAAAAAAATGAAATATAATAAATCTATTTCTGTGCTTTTTTTTCCTAAGCCGTATTTATATTACGATTAATAGAAGATAAATTACTGTCAAAATCAATATATGTACTAAACGAACATATCGAAAGTAAAGCTAAAAAAACAAAGAATGATACGAAAGTTAATATGAATACATATACTACTTGTTATTTAGTACGTATAGGTTGCTAACTACGAACTGAGAAGAGCAGAAAAAAAAACCTTGCCGCCTGTTTTGCATCTTATTCTTCTTCTTCTCCTTCTCTCCATCTTGTTAAGTGACGTTGACAGAACAGAAAAGAAAATGTGATGTCCGCATTAACCAAACGCGTCGAGCCGATTTTACCCATACTACACGTAATCAAACGTATACAACGAAGAAAAAAAAATATGGTGTGTTCGAGAAAGAATAATGCCAACCACAAAAAGAAAAAAAAAAAGAAACCTCTTATAAAAAATTTAATCAAACTGACGAAAGAATTTTGTTTTACATGCTCCTTCATATTATTTTATTTTGTTGAAATACGCCCAAAACCCAGATGTGCAATTTATAGAGAGCTTGTGACATCCTCCCCCGTCAGCTATTTCTAAAATTCGTTCACACAATACTCTCTACTTTTGAAAACTGCACCTTACCCCCCCCCCCCCTCCCTTGCCTACAGTGCTAAGTTATGCCTTTGCATGAATCATCACTTCTATATACATGCATATGGAAACAAGTTAAATTATATTTTCTTCGTTTTGTTACGCATAACAAGCGCTACTATGACATATTTCATAAACATATAAACGAGAACGAAAAAAAAATGTTTATTACAATATGATTTACACTCGAATAACATAACAGAGTGAAAATAGTACAAAATTTAATTTTTAAATTTCTTTTTTGGTGATTCATGATTCGTATCTGATGATGATGACGATGCACTTTCATCATCACTAGAATTACTACTGCTGCTGCTGCCGTTCGACGATTTGCTCGATGATGACGATGATGATGATGAACTACTTGAACTTGAATCAGATGAATTTCCATCATCTTCATGATCATTATTATTTTTATTTTTATCAAATTTAATTGTTTGTAATTGATCCATTATTTGTCTAAGACGAAGAAAAACAAAAAAAAGAAGTATGAATTAGAAATAATAAAATATATAAATAAATAAATACTTTTTTTTCATTTCATTAGCATTTTTTTCTTCATCTTCTTGATTTTTTTGTAATTGTTTTATACGTTTTTCAAGTAATTGTGTACGTGATGGTCTTTCAACATATTTTCTTTTACGTGTACATTGATATGTCCAATGACCTTTTTCTAAACATTTTTGACATTGAGCATTGACACTTCCTTGTTCAAGGCTAACAACAAAAAAATAAAGGATTAACATTAAAAATTAAGTTCGTTTTTTTTGTTAGTGTGTCGTGAAATTATTTCACTACGAGAGGAAACAGTTTTTTGCGGTTGATTATTTCCTTTCTTTTCATGCTTATATGACTTTTTTTTTACAAGATGTATATAACTCATAAATTAAACAAAAAATAACTTAAAATATCTGAAGAAATACATTTTTGATATAATATAACATTTGAAATTTTTTTCAGTAAATATAGATCGAATCTTACCGTTCACGCATAAGTGCACGAGGTTTTCGAGGTGGTATTGAACACATGTTTTAATATTATTATTTAATCTAAAATTATAATCAACTATTTATATGTTTATTCTAAGTGATAAAAAAAAATAATTCAGTTCGTTTATTATTTTTTTCTCAAAGGAATAAAACTATAAGTGTACTTATCAAAGCTCACAAGTAATTTATGTCAAATACTTCAGGAAGGAAGCATAGAGCTCACCAATCTGAAGATTTAATAAAACATTCTACTGATGAATAAAAGAATTCTTTAAAATTACATTGAAAAACATCGTTAGCACAATCCTTGTGGGATTAAAAATTGTAATACGATGTAGCTGCTGTTACTAATCGCAGAGATTCTATCAATTTTGGGATACAGTTCTTTATTTAATCCATCAAATGATTCTATTTATATGTTCTGTATATTTTCATATAAATCTCTGTATCCAAATTCGGCAAAAACACACTAAATGAAGATCATATTAAAATTACATTTCAATGCTTTTGTGAAACTAGTGGCACAGTAAAAGATCGAGAACATTTTGGGAGATCGTCAAAAATTAGAGAAGAAAAAGTCGAGGAATTTTTTCATGTTTGTGAAAATGAACTAAAATCAAGTTTTCAAACTGTCACAAAAGTATGCTTCATCCCACAATCAAATTGCACCTTTTACGATTTCAATGAAACGTATTCAATTATATACAGGATAAAACTTTAAAGAGCATACATATTATAAAAATATCAATTAAATCTCTTGAATTGTATAAGAAATTCCATGGTTAGGTTTGTTATGATCTGTGTGGAGAGATCCAAATTTCAGACGATGAATTCTTCATTTTAGCAAGTTATCTTATCTACTCCTTAACGTTTCGAATAAAGTTTTGTAAAAACATAATAATACTTTCATTCTTTCTGTGTAGGAGTATAAAATTAAAAAGTAAATCATTACAATTATTTTCTGTTTATCTAATTTAACTTTTATGAAAAAGATAATTTGTGTATAACTTCTAAATTCTCGAATTTTAAAATTTATATTTCATTCAAACAGAAAAATCTGCTTTTATTAAATCTTATGATTCATAATCCAAAAAAAAAAAAAAGAAAGAAAGAATCGAAAACTTCAAAAACATTTAAAATTTTATTTATTCTAGCTGTTTTAAATTTTTTTTTTTTGGGAAATATTTTCATATAGATAAATAAGAGAAAAAAAAATGAGATGAAATAAACATATTTATCATTTTTTCACATCTTTATAGGCAACGACAAACATTTGTGGAACATCAAACTCTGGTGAATAACCACTATTATAAGATGAATCTTCAAATATAATACTATAACAATCTTTACCAACTCGTGGTATACTTTCAACAACACCTTTATAAAAACATGATGTTTGAGGATAAAGTGCAAGTACAATAGTACGTGGTGGAAATAATGCTTGTGGACACGTCAATGGGCAAGCACGCCATTGTGGTAACGGTATAATATGTCGTTTACTTATATTATAATAATGTCCTTTATCTGGTTCAGCATCAATATCAACAATATCATATTTTGTTTTATTTGGATGTACATTAGCTACTTCAGCTAATATCCAATTTTCATCACCATCATCACTTTCAACAAAACCTGCTATACGATCACCAACATGACATACATGATTTGATGCAGCAGGTATGGCACCACAAAGTGGTGGTGGTGAAACATCACCCTAAATATAAAAATAAAATAATGTTGTTTTCAAATTTGTATTTAGAATTCATAAATTAAAAAAAGAAACTAGAAACACATTTATTTCTAATGCTAGAAAATGGAAATCACAAATATTTTGTTTCTATTTCTATTTATCTAAATTTTCTAAATAACTTTTTATCAGTTGAAACAAAAGATCAATTCTAATCGTCACAAGTTTTGTCGTAATCTTCTTTATTGTGCGTGTTAATTTTTTAATGTATTCGTACTTTGAGCATAGGGAGAAGGACAGGTGTGGAAAACTTTTATTTGAGATAGTACACTTAAAATAATAATAGATTTCTAACTGTTTTGTTAGTGTATTTCTTGCATATACAGTACAGTTTAATTAATATTATCATATATGGGAAACCAAGTAAGAAAAGTACACACCGAAATAGAACAGTGGAACAAGTGATTAAGCAAAAGAGAAATGCACAGGGATATTTCGAACTTATCAAAACTAAGAGATGGATCACTTTTTCTTCTTGACTCAAGAACAGCTTACAATATGAAAAAGACTCGATTTTATTTTTCATTGTTTTGAGGAAGAAAATTATCTTCATATGAATTCAAAAGAAATTTCTCAATACTTTTAACTCCACAGCCGTTCATACCAATGATCATTGATTAAATGAATGCTTTCAAGAAAGAACAACTATTTAAATTTTCGCTGAAATTTCAAATCTTCTTTGAAAACTGATTACACTTATACAACTGATAGTCTTTACAGAAGCGACAATTTATTCCTGACTGATAAAAAACTTGCACCCGTGTCGATTCTTTCCAGAAACTAAACCGTAATCAAAACACAGTTAATAATATTTCTTGAGAATTGTTTCCTGTCAAGGTGGTCACAATCGTGGCGATCGTTCAAACAAAGTGCTTTTCAGACATTAAAAAAAACATTGTAGCATGCTGCTAAAACTAAAGATTAGAGTTTTTTAGCTCAGCTAGGATTGTATAGCTGTTATTGTTCGCAAAACGTAAAAAGTTTTAATTTTACTTCATTGGTTTGTTTCAGAAAGATTGTATATACTTTTGTATCTTGCAAAAAAGTTAGCACATCCTTGCTGTATAATTGTTTTTCGAATTTTTAACTGGTAAAAATAAGAAAAATTTTCAATCATAAGAGAATATCAAACCACCAACAACTTCCCGATCGGGTCAAATCTGAATATCTCTTATATCGATTTTAGGCTAACACAAAGAGTATTCATAATTCCCTACTCGAATCTAATAAAAATTAACAGAGTTTGGTTTTCTAGTAAGTGAAATAGTGTGAAATTATCTTCGATGATCTAATCTAAAACTCACTTTATTTGTATCATTATCATTATCATCATTTCCATACCAAATTTTTAAAGCATAAGCCATATGTGAAAGAAGATCAGCTAAACCTCGTCGTGTTGTATGACTGCGACTAGCATCATTATGATTTTTTGAAGCATTTGCAATTTCAATTTGTAATTGTCGAACTTGTGCAATTTTCTCTAAAGCTGTTCGATACATGTCTATTTCATTGTGAACGTTAGTTAGTGCTTCGGTTAAATTATTTTTTGATGACTGAGAATTTGTATTTTCATTTGATGATGTTGGTGATTTTTGTTGTTGAATAGAAACCCATGCATCGCGACTAGTATTATAACATTCTTTTGTTTTTTTCAGATCATCTTGTAATTCCAGTAGGAGTCTTTGAATTTTTAATTCATTTTGACTAATTATATCTTTAGCTTCAGTTGAAGATAATTGAGGTATACTAGATGATGATGAAGATGATCGACGAGATGATGAATATTCAGAATTATTATTTGTACGCGTCATTATTTATATACGATTTTCATTTAATTGCAAAGTATATATAACAACAAAGATGGAACTGAATAAGAAACGATTGGTGTAGTATATACACCACTAGTAAAGTCTAACAAATATAGATGTCGTGAAAGAACGATCATTAATAGCATACATAGTTGAAAGAGGTAACATTTAATCAAAACACTGATATAGATAGAAATGAATCTATGATTCGCCAAGAAAGAAACAACATTTATATAGGAATGAACAAAACGAGAAAGATGACATATATCGTTCATTGCATTAACGATGAACATGTATCATGTGATATTGTAACTGAACACTTATCGCAAACGTTCTTCCATTTTAACATTTAATTGTTACTTTAATGTAGTAATTTTGACTTCCAATATTAACATACGAGAATCATGATACAACAAGCACTCTTTCGAAAAAAACATGAATTAAAAACAAAATGAGAAATTGCTCGTCAGCAAGAGCAATTTTAAAGTCACTAAATCCAGATAACTAGTATAGAATGATTGCTACTTACTAGACCTTAATATATAAATGCTACAAACATGGTTTTAAAGACTTTAATATCATTTTAAAAATTTTATACCATAATTAATTGCAAAAAATCAAAGCTATGAATTAAATTCCAAGAAAATATCGGAGAGAGAAGTAAAAATTGATTTGGTGATTAAAAATATCAACTCGACGTATGACAAACTGATAATAATAAATCATGTGTGTTATCGATAGCTCATCACAAAATCCATTTTTAAGTGCCCTACTATAGAAGAAATATTAAGATAATATTTGAAATCATTTCACAGCTACACCTTTACTAATGATAGTTACACTGGCTCAATTTCTCAGTATATTATGATACTTTTAAGTGTCACAATTTGCAGAAATGTATAGAAACCATACGTTTTATTACAATTTAATATGAATTCTATTGATCTAATCATTAATCTATTAAATCTTTTTGGTAAATTTCATCATATTCGCACGCACCGAGTATATATAAAACAATTATATTTACAAGAATTCATGGTCAAACAAGAATCTGACATTTAAGAATTTAGTGCGATAAACGTCTTCTATATCTTCTATTCATGACTTTTCTACGCATTTTTTTTTGTAATAAAATCTCATAGTTTTGACATGACATCTATATTTTTACATATTAAGCTTGCGTAACGTTGCTCAGCATACTTTATTGATAGGTTTTTTCTTCTTATTGCTTTGTGAAAAAAAAGCACAATAATGACATAGGCGAAGTACAACTGTAATTTTTCTTTTATTCATGAAAGTTGTTGAAATTTTCTTTTCTATTTGACACTATATTTATATTAAGTAACCAATCAAAATTTAAGAAAAATAAATGACTCATTAGGAAATATTCACAATAAAAGCAACAACCCGAATGATTTCCGTTCATTGACGCAAGTAACAAGAATCGTGTAAAGATTGAAAAAGAAGATTAATTAATTTAAAAAAATGCAATCTAATAGTAATCGACCAGTCTACATTGTTCAACCATCAAATATAACTCATTTAAATGTACGACCGACGATTATTACTACTAGTGGTCAACAAGTACAAACACAACAGCAACCAATTTATCAAATTTCAACTGTACGACAACCAACAATACCTCAACAACAACCAACAGTCTATCAAGTTCCATCACAACCTCGTCTTGTTACTTCATCACCTGTCTATGCTACTTTACAACCTCAACGATTTTCTACTTCACCACAACAAATATTAACAACAAATAAAAATCTATCACCTCGTCCTCTTACTCCTCAATCAGCACCACGCATGTCAATTGTTGCATCACAACCAACTACAACTATAGTACGACCAAGTTTAACTACGGTATCTACATCACCGAAAGTAACATCAACTCCATCATTAACACCACCTATGGCAACATCTGCTCTAACATCAACATCAACATCACCACAAACTGCTGCATCAACTTCTAAAGATTTTTCCGTTAAAGTACCTAAGTAAGTCATATTCTATTCATCTCAATACAAATATAAATAAAACTCATGTCGATAGTTATCAATAAGATTAATTGAATTTGTATGATAAAAATAAATATCGTAGTCATCCTTAAGTTTTTGAATACGAAAATCTGTAGAAAATATTCAATGAAAAAATACCAGACTAGAAAATTGAAATTTCATATGAATACATAGATGAATTCTAATTACGAATTATTTGAGATAGATCATAAACATTTTTTCCGAAAAAACAAAAAAAAACGAAGTCTACAATTTTTTTTAATGTAGAACTCGAGCTCAATATGGTATTATGGAATTTGCAAATGGTCTATCAGTTGATGTAAAAGATTGGAAAGCTATTGAAATGAGACGTGAAATAAATCCATATACATATCGTCCAGCAACAAATATTGATCCTAATGCGGCATCAAATTCATCATCAATTACAACATCACTTGGTGTTGTTTTACCTAAAACCGGTGCAGGAAGTGAATATGGTCGAGAACAAAAAGAAGCATTAAAACGAAAACGTTATACAGCTAGAGGAACAAATATTGAAGATCTTCCTTGGGTATTAACTGATCGTTCATCAACAGAAAAAAAATTAAAACATTATCGTGGATTAAAAAAGGGTGGTGTTACAACAAATTCATCTTATTATGTATTTATACAAGGTAAAGATGGTTTTGAAGCATATCCTGTTGAAGATTGGTATGGTTTTACACCAACAAATGTTTATAAAACACTCGATTTTGATGAAGCTGAAAAACAATATCAAGAACGACATAAACATTTAAGTAAATGGTTTTTAAAACATCAAGTTACAAAAGAAAAAGATACTGAAGATAGTGTTGAAAATGATGATGAAAAAGGAAAAAAATCAACAAATAAAAATAAACGTTCTTTTAAATTACTTGATACAGAAGATTGGATTAATGAAAATGAAGAAGGTAAATATAATTTGAAGTTAAACACAAAAAAAAAGAGTTTGTTTTTTTAATTTTTGTTTCAGAAGAAGATGAAGATGATGAACGAGAAGATAATGATGATAACAATAATGATAAATCAAATAAAAAATCTAAAACAAATAAAAAAAATAATAAAAAACCAAAAGATGCATGGACATTAAGTGATGACGATGAAAATGAAACACCTCAACCAAAAACTAAAAAGAAAAAGACTACTCAACGTCAAACAAGTGAAGATCGTGAAGATTCAGATGATGGTGATCATGAATGTAAGAATTCATTGATTAGAATTAGAACCTACTTGTTAATTCAGATATTTTTTTCAAGAACCTTTACTCCCCATAGCTATTCCAAAGAAGTCATTAATAAAGCAATTTTAGAAATATTATTCTTTGTACAGTTTTGTTTTTTTTTATTAATGTAAATAACATTCATTATTGTTTGGGATATTCTTCAAACAAAGAATTGAAGATAAAAAAAAGAAAATTTTAAAACAACGTTTTGATGAAATTTTTTTTGACTGCATGTTTCAGTTATTTAATATAAAAGTATCTTTTGATAAAAATAGCGAATTGCTTTAAAATAAAGTAGTTCAAGATTCAAATCTGAACTATTCAATAAAATGGCACATCATCTCATATCCATCAATTAACACAACATTGATTATCGAATAGTCTATATTTAAATCATGGACTATTTAGTTTTGAAGGAATTTGCTACTTAAATTTTTATTTTTAGGTGATGAAATTGATTATACAAGTGATGACACATCTGAAGAAGAAGATGATGTTAAAGGTAAATATATATTTTATATTGTGTGAAATGAAAATTTTATTCTTTATTTTTAGATCGTGATACAGATAAAACATCAACGAAATATGAAGTTAAAGGTTTGTTATTTTTGAAATTAAATTTTGAAAATTTCTTTTATTTTTTTCGTAGGCATTGATGAAGAAATGAGAACAATGCCAGATATAGAAAAAAAACTTGAACAAATGGATGAAAATGCAGATGAACTTGATTTTGAAGATGATGATGAAGAAATTCCTGATATAGGTTATTAAAATTTAAAAAAATCATGTCATACGTAGAGAATAATTTTACTTTTTTTTTTTGTTCTTAATATTATAGAAGAAAATGATGAAGAAAATGGTAAAACAGCAGCTGATGATTTATCTGATGTTAGTAAATTACTCAAAAGTGATGCAGTTAGTAAAGGTATGTATTGAATTTAGTATTAGAATCAAAAACAAAATTTTTTTCTAGAAATGGAATCAAGTTCAGATGATGATGATCTTGATGATTCTGATGATCCTGATAAAGAACCAATTGAATCAGTGACTGTAAATAAAATAAATTTTCTTTTCTCATTATCAAATATAATATGTTTTTTTTTTGTACACCTAGAGTTCTATGAATACTCAACCAAATCCATCAGAACAAATTAAAACTGGTAAGTCGATTAGATGAATGATAAATTTTAAGCACCATTATATATAGAATCTATTGAATTCAAAATCCTTATTGTTTCATGACGTCTATATTTCTCATTTGAGTGTTTAAACATAGAATTTGTTTTGTATCTTTTTTTTTTAGAAAAAGGTCATAAAAAGGCAAGAGAAGAAGAAATGCGAGCAATTAAATCTAAAGTTATGTCATTACCAAGTACACCATCAAATCCTAGGTTAATATTTATATATTATTTATCTATTTAAAATATATTTCTTTTTGTTTTCTTAATACATTTTAGTGAAACAATTACTGAAGATAAAGTTCGTAGTTTATTATTACGAAAACAATATATGACATTTACAGCATTAATACAAAATTTTTTACCTAAAGCAGAAAATTTACGTACAAAAGAAATCAAAGAATCTATTGTTCAAAAATTAGCAACAATTCTTAAACGTTTAAATATCGAAGAAAAAATGATTAATAATAAAAAACATATTAAACTTAAAACTTAATTTTCATTTATCAACGCACATTTTAATGTTTATGTAAAATGTTGATGACTTTTTTTTTCTTTCTT